TTACGGTACAACATAATTGTATTTTTAAACAAATGTAACCAAATCTTTTGACCAGCAATATCTGTTTTTAATATTGATTGGGTCTTTAAATTCCACTCAGGTAAGAGGCTCAAGAATATCTGAAAGCCAATAAAGGCTAAGCAGGGAAGTACAGAGCCAGTAAGAGCATTCCAAATTAAGTGGAGTGAGAAATACCATAAATCATACTTGTCTTTAAACAAGTGTAACCAACATTTTTGACCAGCAATGTACATTTCAGTTTTTACTGTTGATTGGTTCCTTTAAATTCCACTCAGGTAAGAGGCTCAAGAATATCTGAAAGCCAATAAAGGCTAAGCAGGGAAGTACAGCGCCAGTAAGAGCATCCCTAATATAGTGAAGAGAGATCAGATATCTAGGTCTGAATTGCACAGACACTCTGCCATATTAGGGATGCCCCTCACATGTGTTAGTCAATAGACATTGACAGGCTACATACCGTAATATGATTTACCACAGGATGGAGGGAGAAAAGAAAGAAAGAGAGAGAGAGAGAGAAAGAGAGAGAGAGAGAGAGAGGGAGAGAGAGGGAGAGAGAGGGAGAGAGAAAGTGAGAAAGAGTAAAAAAGGATAAGACATAATTATGCCTACCGGTAGTGCAATGTACATCTACTGTACCGTATGCACAAGTGGACTAACTAAAAAGAAAACCTGTCTTTAAAAGTATTGAATGTCAAATTGACAAACAAAACTACACATATGAGTTGAGTAAATACAGCACTAGTGGACAGAAGAGGGAAATCAATTTCATACTTGTACCTAAATTTCTGTTTTTAAAACACCCCCCCCCCCCCCCCCAATTAAAAAAAAACAGTGCACAGCAAGCAAAGAACTTGACATGTTATATAGCATCCTCTGCACATGATGTGTATCAAATTAAAGCTCTGGTAGTGGTATGTACATGTATGATATTTAATTAAAGAGAAAATGGCTATAACTCATTCTAAATTGTTTATCCTTCAGCAGCTCATTACTCATTCCCTATAAATTTCTACTAAAATCGTTTAAACATATCATGTAGTTGTAATTTTGAACATTCAGTGTCAGTTTTGTTAGAATCTCTGAGAATTTATTTTCTATCATTGGCAGAACTCAAGCTTATCTTTAAAGAGAAGGTTCATTGATTTAAAAAACTGCTTGGGCAGGGTTGGTTCATATTGTGACTGCATTCAAACATTGTTATTTTTCCGGCGAAACTCTCGCATATCCCAGATGCTATGGAGGTTGTTTTATTTGTATCACCCAATATGTAGTTGACCTAAAACTTGCATGATGGCCATCTGTTAGCTTACCAGTTTCTAGTAATACGCTATTTGCCGTATTTGTGATTTTCTATGAACCCGCACTTTAATGTAGGATGAATTTAATGAGATCAAGTCTGTTTAGATCATTGTGCAGCACTCTACTATAAATTCACAAGCTAATTAAAATGTCATTGGTTGACTGCCTGGTGTTTGCATCTTAATTGGAACCGTGGATCATAAAATAGTGTATATAAGCATCAAGGATCGTAATGAACACAAATTGATAGAATTACGGACAATGTACATCCTCTCTCTCTCTCTCTCTCTGAATTAGTCTCAATCCATCATCACAATTTCTGCTGAATTACAGGATATTGCTTTTGAACAAAACCAACATGTACTGAGTACATAACACTCAAACCTCGAAGTTCTGCTATTGGTGCAAATAATTTCCCTTGGGCATGTAAATATGCAATTGCACAGTAGCTTTCTCTTCATCGCCACCACTGTAGTTAATCATCTTTTCTTTTTTCCTCTTCATCGTATTGATACTATGCAAATTAAATCAGCCTCAAATCAATAATTCATTTTTCAATAAATTTCAACTACCATACTACATGTATGCACAGAGTAGCCCACTGTATGGCGTCCACAAGATCTTCTACTTTAACTCATATAAATGGACATCTACCTGTACATGTAGACACATGTACATGTATACTGTACTTGCTATTTATAATGGGCGTACATGTCATGTGTACATGACGTCAGTAAATACAACAAGTGTGGTTGATTACATCCTTTCAACGTAAATTTCCTATACCCCTCCCCCCAACAATCGAGCAGGTAAATGTAAATGTGAACATTAAAATATGAGGAAGTATTTTTATCTTCTCACAGGCAATACAGAGCGAGAAGTTTAATATGCTTGTAGGCTGATATGGATGTAATGAAAGAAGACGTTTGACTTGCATCATGCATAGATGTCATCCACTTTCTCTTTGAGAGCCCTCAAGGCATTGAGGAAGGATGGATTAACCGAGGATCTTAATCATGGGGTGTGTTCATGTATAACTTAATTATGCTTTATGAAACATGTCATTTCGATTTACCAAAATGCTATAAATATTGTATGTCAGCAGACTAGACAGAACAAAAAGGTAATGTTCCATGTGAACAAAAACAATTCTGCATGTTCTGTATGCCACTTCCTGTTGACATTTACATGTACAATGTAGTTTATCATGATGTGTTTCCAGAGTGCAGAAAGAGCAATTACACCAGGAAAGAAAAGCTTCAAAGGCGATATATGAATGTTTCATCATGTTTACATCCAAAGAAGTAATGTATGTTCTCAAAGAAATATGAGGAAAGTAAAATTTGATATTTTTGAAAAAATGAAAAAACTTGTTGACTGTCAATCAGAGTTCAGTGAGTGTGAATGCTACCCACTAACACTTTGCCATTCATTCAAAGTCTAGTATAGTATGTGTGAATACAACCTTTATGTTACCAATTCTCGCTACCCTAAATAGGTACGAAAATCTCGAAATTCGCGAGACGAGGTAATTTTCACTCTCTCGGGTCGTCACTACAACTTCCGGTATAGAGTCCCATCCCAAGTCACGGCCTTCATCCACCCCCATTTTTCAGGGTTCTTACGCTTGGAATCATGAGCCCAGCACTGTGCAGCCTCACAAAAGAAAACCATCGTCACTGATGTCAAAAGACGCAAAAAACAACGAATGAAATGTTCAAATAAACGTTGAAATATTTGCGAAAAAAAAAAACAAGACCGAGCAGACGACATATTCGGTGCATACACGTTGTGTGGCGACGGCGTTTTACGTTTGCGCTATCGCGCCGCCTGCACAGGAAGCTGTAATGTCGAAAAGCTATCCCATAATGCAATGCGCGTTTTCAGGATTTTCCCCGGATCTCGGCAGAATCGCTATTTGGGGTAGCGAGAATTGTTATTCAAAGTCCTGTCAGTGTCAGTGACCCCAACAAGAACATTAATTGTCATTCACACACAGTAAGTGTGAATAACACCAACCAGAACTTACAGCCCTTCAATGTGAATGACCCAAACCACAAAATTGTCATTCACAGTCCTATATTCAGAACTTCAGGAAGTGTTAATACCAACTACAAGACCACTGCCCTTTCAAATCACGATAGGGTTAATGCCAACCACTGTGACACCGTCATTGTAGATGCCCTTTCAGCATGTGAACGCAACCCACTAGAACGCTATCAACCAAAGCCTGATCAGAGTGAATGCAACCCTGAATGCAGCCAGCGGATGAACTACATGTACGTTTGCGCCTGCTGCATGAGGCAAGTGTATTGCCTGGACAATTGAGCATTCCAAATTGATTTCCGCTACAAACTACGCACCACGCAGTCCCCTAAGATGGATTATGGATGATCACGGATGTCAGATTTAGGAATTGAAATGGGAGAAAGCAGAAATGGTGATAAGAGTAAGAACTGGGAGATGGATATGGACAGAAACAGACTTACTCGTAACACCCCCCCCCCCCTCAAAAAAAAAAAAAAAAAAAAATACATGCATGTATAAGCAGTGTGACCAAAGTATTTTCTTGAAAAGTTCTTTAATCTTGCCCATGAAAACATCCCAAACCAAGAAAGGAATGACCAACACATGATACAAATTTTCGACACATGTACAGAAAAGGATAAAGTGGGGATATATACAAGTCATAATTCTTTCTCATTGCTACACATACAGTGTACATGTACATGTACATGAGCTGTACATCAAAAATTACAACAATGTACTGTACATGTGTAGATGATTCTAATAATCCGTTTAGAAGTAACAATATATTTCTAACTATCAGTATCAAAACAATAATCAATAAAACATTTTGATGCCCATCTAACTGTCACATTCTATCGCACTCTGTCTGAATGCCAACAGCCTGTGACTTAACACATTCGTACTCTACATGGTTCTCACACCCAGTCTGTGTAAACACTCATCGCTATACATGCATGCGAGTGGATGGAATACAGGAAAAGCAGGCCACAGAGATTTATTGATTTTTTTGAGATATCATGCAGTATTAAAGCACCAACAGTTTGTGCATTTGACTTTTTCTTCTGTGGTTTGTCTTTTCTGGTACATTGACATGCACTGTACATGTAAATCTTTCTGGGCTGTTAGCATTTCCTTCTCATGTTATTTTGATAACATATTTGTTGTTGTTTTTGTAATTACCTGCATGTATCTGGACAATGCATATCACACATTACACAAAATAAGATGAATAATGTAGTTTCTTAAAGCTATGGATAACAATGATACAAACTTTATGCTATCTTAATATCTGTCAGAGGAGATATAAACAGCTCTCTGAAATCTCTAAAAACTAAAGCTTTGAAAATTGGAAGTTGTTGACCGAACAACTAAATTTGTAGCTATCTACTTGATGACTTCATCTTATGTGGAGAATGCATAGATAATGACTTTGCATTAATTAAGCACAGCTCATCGCCTAAGCTATATAGGCGAGCTGATCGGGTCCACATGTGTTGTCGTCACTGTAAATGTAGCACATGTCAACCCGTAAATTTGTACTTTAATCGGATAGGTTCTTTAATCTATTCATGGCCTCGACTATACAGGACCGCATGGATGAAACATTAGACAATGATTTGCAAGAGGATAGAGAAAGACCATTTACTCACCACTGAGGAGCTTGAATTAAGGACATGAAATAGAGCCTTCAGAAGGTCCACATTACTGCTGATTTGGCGAGCAAAAGCTGGCATCCCAGAACCTGGCAAGGCCTGTGAAGTGTGAAAGTGGATTAAAAATTCCCCTCATATCATCACATGTATATAAGAATTAAGCTTTGTTCCATCTTAGCTTCAAATAGGTACATGTACATTAATTACATGTAAAGAGGATTTTCATGACAGATTAAATAAAGAGAAATATTATTTTAAAGTTCTTTATACTTATTTAGAATGAAGAAATAGACGTTTCTATTTTACAGTGCCACTGCCTTTTGAAGATTCCTGGTGCAGTTTCACAGACCAAAACATGTATGGAATTGTTATGTCTATGAGGTAGGGGATATAAACATTTTCTTTTATTTTAAAATTCCCTCTAACCAATGCCGCAAAGAGTGAAGTTGAGTGATCAATATCACTTCTTTACAATAAAAATGATTTTAAGCCCTTTCAGATGTCTGTAAAATGTTGACACTACACCTGTACAATACGATAAAGAGCAAAATTACAGCAGACAAAATCTTTGGACATACTGTACATTACATATTTACTTCTATTAATGGTACATGAACTCGCAACTTGATCTTACCTTATATTCTGTCAACCACTCTCGCACCAATTTTTGGTCCATTTCTAATTTGTCAGGTATCATCAGGACTGTTGAGACAAAAAACAAGAACAAAAAACATTCATGAAAACAACAATTCAATTGGCTCTCCAATAGGGCATAGGGGGCAACAAATTTTTTTTTCCAACACGGGGAGGGGGCCCAGGGTCACCACAAAAAGGCAACTAAGGAGTATCAACACCTTGATATACCCTTCCACTTTGACTAATTAATGGTTATCTTTAAGTTTTGTTTTAATGCTGAAGGCAGCAGCACTAGCATCACTTGTATGTTAGATTATCGTTGAAAATAAGAATCGTCCGCAGACGATCCTTATATTTGCGGACGCGTCTGTCCACGTTTACGAAGACGATCCTCGTTTAAGCGCACGATCTATATCCTAACCGTGTTCTAGGACTAGCATTTCTACTACTCATGGAAGAGTAAAGGAGGGAGTTTTCGGCCACCTATAGAAAAATTCAATTTTTGGATGCTTTACTTCCTATTTATTATCATTTCTTGTTCAAATCATGAAGCCAATACTATTTTTATTTAAACAAAAAAGAATCTCAGAAAAAAATCAGGAATTGCCATGGCAATATTCATTTTCATGTCCACTGTATCGGAGGTAGTTTTCGGCCTAGCGAGGCAGTTTTGGGGCATGTAGTCAATAGGGAGCGCGCGCTGTGCGTTTTGCCTGCTAATGCTATAGCCCGGGCTTGCTGTGGTACAAAAAAAAATAAGACGTGTGCGGCCAGAGCACGCAATCCCCAGCACGGCCGAAAAGTACACATGCCGTAACGGTGATCAGAAATTGGAATCTAAACTAAACAGAGATACCGTGCTATAGTATAGTAATGCAGTGGTATAATACATGCGATGAGAAACTTTTGAGCTTGCGATACTCAAAAAATCTGACTCTAAATCTGAAAATACTTGAAATACAGCTCATTTTATGGTACCCATATTCCTTACATGCACGCCTTAAGTTATTAGATTTTTCAGATTCGGAAAGCTGGACCGCCAATTACTTTGCTAAAATGTGATATTTAAGGATACATTTTCCTTGCAAATGTGGTTCTCCAGTGCCTTTGGCATGTTATTGTATGTATGTGATACATGTACATGTATTTTAAAGGGATTTTACCATGCATCCAACGGACCGGCTGAAAACTCCCTCCTTTACTCTAGTTAAATTTAGTCATGATTGATGCATATCTTTCATAAAATCCAAAAATGACAAAAAGAGATGGCCGATTCTTTGACTGCAGCTGCAAAGGTTAAATTGAACTTTGAAGCCAACGGAAGGCATGAAAATTGAAGCCACATATAAATTCATGTAAATGCTCTCTGCTACCCTGTCGCCCGATACTTTATCCAAAATCGCCTATGACTATGCAGTAGAGTAAAGGAAGGGGTTTTCGGCCACTTAAAAATACAAAATCACATTTTTGGACTCTTTACTTCCTTTTTATTATCATTTCTTGTTCAAATCATGAAGCAAATACTATTATTATATAACCAAAAAAAGAATCCCAGAAAAAAAAATCATGAATTGCCATGACAATATTCATTTCCATTTTCACTGTTTCGGAGGTAGTTATCGGCCTAGCGAGGCAGTTTCGGCTGCATGTACAAAGTCAATAGGAAGCAAGCGCGCGCACCATGGATTTCCCTGCTGATCTATAGCACTAGTGACCGGAGCAGCTATCACACGCCGGAGCTCGCCGTGCCGAAAACTACCTCTGCGGTGATCGGAAATTGGATCTGAATTAGTGTGTGTGCTTGTGTGTGCGCTGCGGTATCCGGCTGCATTGATTTAATACATGCGATGGGATACTTTTGAGCTTGCGACTCACACAAATCGGGCTCTAAATCTGAAAAATACCTGAAATACAGCTCATTTTACTCATTCGGGTATTTAAGGATATATTTTCCATTGCAAATGTGGTTCTTCAGTCACTCTGGCATGTGGCATGTGGTATATGTGATATGCTATTATGCAATGTATTTTAAAGGGATTTTACCATGCATGCAGCATCCAACGGACCGGCCGAAAACTGCCGACGGCCGATTATCCCCTCCTTTATGTTATTAATACTGAACAGTAGGGGCGCTGGTCCGAGAATAAGGATCGTCTTCATAAACGAGGATCGTCTTCGTAAACACGGACCGATGCGTCCTCAAAAATAAGGACCGTCTGCATTTTTGCAGACATTTCATATTTTTGATCGGCACATTGGCGATGCAAAAAACGGATTCTGCAGTGATTTTCTTGATGCATTTTACATTGACATTGTACAGAGACTTTCACATAATAAGCAATAAATCCTTGGGAAGACGGACAACCCATAAAAGTAGACGGTGAACTAGGGTTATTTTTCCCCGGGGAATCCATTTTTGGCATCGCCAGTGGGCCGTTCTGTAACATGAAACCCCCAGAGCGCCGATGAAAAAAAACGTCCTCGAAAATGCAGACAACCCTTATTTTTGAGGACGCATTTTGTCCTCGTTTATGAGGATATCCTTGTTTATGAGGACGATCCTCATTCTCGGACCAGCCCCCCTACTGCTGAATAGGTCTTTCTTTTGTATTTTGAATTTTAATTAATTTAATGTAGGTGTCCAGTGCAGTGGCACTTGGCCCTGCATAACAATATAATTATAAAAATATAAATAACAATTAATATTTAATTGTCAGTCAACTCGCATCGACTTCTACACAAACACACAAACAAACAAAATAAGCTTGCATCTGAATCCATGTCAAAATAAACTAAAATAAAAAGTCACAGAGCATAATTTTCATGATCCGCTAGTGCCTTGGTAGATCTAGTATCAAAGTTAAATAGTTACTAATAATACGAGTTACTCGGACGTTACTCGCAATCGCGCAACGCCCATTTCTTAGGCTAGGACCTAGCACTAGATTTCGAGTTTTGACAGATTTCCAGGCCGACAGGTAAGGGGTGCCGCTCCTCGAGTGACTGTACAGCGCTTCACCGAGCCTTCCGAGGTACTCAGTCAAAGGAACAAAATCAAGACATCGTTTGAGCGCAATATTCTGACACACAAATGTTATAAAACACAAAATGATATTAATAAAATGATTCATAATGATATTAACTTACAAATAATTGTTGTTTCAAATTCTTTCATCTAATAAATTTTCTGTAAAATAAAATTAAACAGAGCTTACCCGTTGGGTGTAACAAATCTCGCAAATTCACAAGGGTCTATGATTCGATTGCCAAAGTAATTTTACTGAATATTTCTTATAATTTCAAAAATAACTATTATACTAGTCAGTTGAAGAAAATTATTGTACTAGATATGTTTAACCCTAGTACAATGGTTTAAATATATGATGACACACTGTTCTTTTTAAATTAATCAAACAAAACTCTTTTTGAATTTTGAATTTCATTGACCAAGAAAGCAAGATGGCGACTTTCATGTGGAAATCCGTATCGGGTAAGGAGTGACAGACTTGTCAATTTTCTACCAATTGTTATCATATATATCATAATTAATTCTATTTTTGAGATAAGGACATAAATTTCTGTCGATTTTGGAAATTTGGATGGTCGCTGTGATCTTAATTACAAATATAATTCATAATAGAAATTTGCATTATTTTGAATTGCGGTCCCACACGTTTAATTTTGTGTAGGCCTAATGTTTGGGGTCCTCAAATTGGCGCTTGTTCAGAAGCCTATCCAAAATTTGTCCTGTAACTCCGGCGTGGAGAAAACATACTAAAACATACCCAAAATGAAGTAAATATTCATTAAAGATAAACTCCAAATAAAGATCATGAGTTAAAAGTCGATATGTTTATTACCTGTTTCGTGTCAATTTTCCTGTTGGGAGTATTTTCCGGATAAACGTTGAAATCTAGGTTAGATCTACACTTTTTCACAGGTTTCATGGCAAACCGCTGCACAATTCAAGTACATACCAGCCTGGTACATACCGATGGTGGGTTGCGCTTGCGGGCGGGCCTGTGTGAAGTTATCTACCGTAATGTCTCAGATCCTCATTACGGTAGATAACTGTTTGACATGAGCTTTCAGACGCGGCAGGTAACAGCATTGCCATTATTAGTGGGATTTACTCAAAGTCAAACAAGTCACAGATGACGGACACACAGACAGAGAAATAACACAGAAAAAAGTCAAGGTTTTCTTTTAGTGTGAGTGTGTTAATCTAAATAGCAGTAGGATGCCTATTCATTGTTGTTTTGCTGTTATTAATATTATTATCAATAATAATGTTTGTCCATCCTTTTCAGCTTGCACATGGACTCCATCTTCTATGTGTGTGCGGACGATGAAATCCATCAACACCAGAAAGAAGAAACCCATGCACATCATGCGTGCCAAGCTGATGGCCGTGGCAGAACGCAAGGAGAGACCAGACCCGAGGTCTCTTGCTGAGCAGTGCAGCATGAGGAAAAGTATCAAGCAACCAGCAACAGAAAAGGTAAGCTTATCATTTCTCTTTGAGGATGACAATCTTTTGTACTTGTAGATGAGATCTGTTTTACATGTTAAAGTTTTGTGATTAAGAGATAGAATTGATAGGGATATGAAAACAATAGTGTACCATTAATGGAAATGTTATTTTGCCTTTTGAAGTGTACAATGAAACTGAGATTTTAGGACATTTGCTTTTGATGTTTTCACTCTTGTTTTATTGAATTATATTAAAGTTTCACAAAGTCATATTGGATTTGATACTTAAAAAGGAATCATAGGTGAGGGGACTCAGAGGAGTATATTTACATGAATTCATGCAATATACTATGTCATGAAGATATATGTAATTTTTGTAAAGTTGCATACCTTTATGCTTCATCAAAAACAACATGGTCATACATTGCTGATGTGGACATTCTTTTTGTTTAAATTCTCCAATTCTTATGCATCTACATTTTGTATATTATCTACAGTGTAACATCTCTTATGAAGGTAAATTAAGTACTTAACAAAATGAATACTTGGGTAACCTACATACAAGAGCAGAATTCTTAATGTGCAATGGTGTCAAACTGTCAATGCTCTGCTTCGTACTAGCTGGATAATGAAGTTTTTAAACTTCCTTTCTTTATGTTTAGCCTCATCTTGTTCGAGAATACTATGCTAGTCTGTGCCGCCAAGTGTTTTCTGCCAGTAAACTAATTGCAGTCTATCACACCGAGGGGTTGTCAGCAGCAGAACAGAATGATATTAAACGCAGGTTGCGGAAGAACAACATCTCTTTAAAGGTTTGTTTACTCATTCAATTAAACAGTAGGCCTATGTCAATTAAACTATTGTTTGAGAACTGGAAGACCTGAAACATTCTGTAATGGTTTTCTTCTTTGTGAAAGTTTCATACAGTGAAACAATTGGATTCCAACTGACACGTCACTGAATACATTTGTGCATCTTGTGAAAGCTCTTTCTCAAAAATGGCTGTACCTCGTTATTTGTGAAAGTTTCATATCGTTAATGTTTTGTTTCACAGTGTCTCATCTAAATATATTTTATTTTTGTGGATGTCTCATTTAAAATTGTGAATGAGGGTTTCCTATATTTTTTATCTTATCTCTGTCAAGCTTTAATCATTTCAATATATTGTATATGAAAGTGGAAATTCAGTGCAAAGGAATTAAGTTTTGTAGTTTTTAATTTATGTTGCCTCTTCTCTCACAATTCTACCAATGAAATCAGTGATATAGTCAGGGTATTAATCAGCTGGTTAATACATTTATTTTGAAAAGGTAAAGAAAGTAAAAGTGATTGAGTGTACTCAGTCAATTTATTTTAAAGTTACAGGTATACAGTTGTATTTAACTTTTGTTTGCCTTTTCAGACATCAAAATCATCTGGTAAATTTATTTATTGTATTAGGAATTTATATTTTAGAGCAACACTGAGAAAACAAGTATTGACCTTCGTGATTTGTATTATACTTATTATACAGGTTTATGGCAACAGTATAGTACAAGAGGCCATCACTGGCACTGAACTGGAGAGCTTGAGACCTCTGTTTGTAGGCTCGTGTATCATTGCCCTGAGCGAGGAACTAACTGTCAAAGAACTACTCAAAGCTACCAGAAGAATACCAAAGATCCATCTTCTAGGTAGGTTTAAGTACAAGTACATTTGAATACCAAATAAAAACATGAATTGATTGCAATGCTGACATTGCAAGCCTGATTTATCCTGTTATCCTTCCATCCATGTTTATATTGCTATTTGGAGAGTCATAGTTATGGGAGAGTGTTAAAGAGTTATGAAAATGAATTGTTTTATAATCAAAACTTGTGTTTAAAAAAAATTATTTGAAAAAAAATGGAAGGAACAAAAGAAGACGTCCAAGGGATACAGAAAATGTGGCACTGTAGACATATAGCTTTTCCTGACCGGCTCTTTAATTTTTCCTCTAGGGAGAAAAAGAAAAAAAAATGACTACTAGAAAAGGCGGCCTTTGTAGAGAGTATGCTTCAAAGACAGACTCGACTATGTGTTTCAAGTAGGGTTTTATACTCTTTTTGTTTGTCATCCTATTTTCTTGTCCTGGTACAGGTGGTAGAGTCGGGGACCAGCTGATGTCGCCCAAAGGCATGGACGATTACTCCAAGTTACCCCCACTAGAGACCCTACAGGGTCAATTCGCTGGTCTGCTCACCTCCTCCCTTAGTCGACCTTACTCCCTCCTCCAGGCCAATCAACAGAGGCTGACCATGAACCTTGATCAGTTGGTGAAGCAGGGAGGGGACTCGGTAGATGGCACTGCAGAGGATAGATGATGATGGAGTATTAGGGCATTAGTAGGTGCCAATGATATTTAGATTCAAAATACTATCTTATCTGTTGGGAGATAGAAGGGCATGAACTTTGTTAAATGATATGATTTAATGCCCTTGTAGCTGTCTGTCTGCAGATGTTTTGTATTTTGTACAGTGACTGAGAATGTGCGTGGCTTGATGTACTCCAAATGATCATGAAGATCAATTGAGAAGCAGTATCTTGGAAACACAACACTACATTGTTGAGCCTCGAAAAAGTCTGCTTGCTAAATCTCATTGTTGAAAATTGAGAGCACCACAGAACAATGTAAAACTGATTAGTGACACTGGGATAGCAAAAGTAAGGATATTAGAGAAGGTACATTTGCTATACTGTATATCTAGTATTTTGTTTTAATTACATGAAGTAGTTATCATGGAATTTTGCCTGAATCTGATTAAGATTTCATTACATAAGGCCAGTTTTGGTCTTAAATTTGAATATTCCATACAGCCAATCACAAAACTTCACAGAGCCATCACAGTAAGTTTGAATTGCATTTCTACAAGGAAAATACAGGTTTCATGTATTTTTGTTGTTGTTAGCTTTCTCTTGTTTTTATGTATCTTCTGTACAAATTATGTGCTTATGAATATTAAAAGAGAAAACAAAATTTAGATGAACGAATGAATGTGTTATTTTACATGTGATGTACAGTGCCAAGAAAAAAATACAGACAAAATGATAAAATAGGCAAAAGAAACAAATGAACAAATTGTCACCTTAATATGTTTATTTTGACCAGCAAATAGATTCATAGTGTTAAATTACAAGATTTCATGTATAAAATATAAAAATATTAAAAAAACACACACTCTTATAGAATAGCTGACAAACATGTACTCTGTATATATACATAATATTTCAGGAAATGAATGCTACCAAATTATAAAAAAGCAAAATATATTTATACTAAATATATATATATATATATATATATATTATATGAAATCCTTTGAGGAAAGCAGAAAGACATGTCCCAATATTGAGTATAAAATGAGTATATATCAGAGAAGATAACCGCCAAGACCGCTCTCACTAGAACACTAGAATGTTCAATAAATACTTTTTTTTGTTATGAAAATACCTAAATAGACACATAACTAAGCACATCAAAAAGTGTTTGGAAATAATAGAAATATGCACACATTAGTACACCATAATAAACGGAATGTGTCAACATAAGGTCAACTACATGTACATATACCCTGCCTTTATGCTACTTATATAACTACAGTACAATATACTTTGAAAACTGAATTATTTTGTTCTAAGTTATTTAAATGTTGCCATAAGTATGCAGCTACATTTTAAGACTGACATAGAGAAACATGCAAACATTATTTCAGTTGTTTGTATTATGTTTGGCCTTTCAAAATTCTACCCTCCTTTATGTATACAAGTTTTCTATCCACTAAATGATAATGAATGAAAATAGATAGCTCTTAAGCTGAAAAATACCCACATAACTATTTCTTTTGAGAAAGCTTCTTTGATTGCACACATGGCTATATTGCCGCATAAGGTCCCCAAAAAATAATAAATTATTAATACCAGTCGCTCACAGCAGTTATTAGAAGATAGGATTACATTGTTTAGGCTGAGTATAATACTTTATCAATAAACATTTGATTACATACTTAGAAATAAAACACCAAGATAAACCTTTTTCAAAGAGCTCTGAAATTTACATACATCCATATTTTTATGTAAGAAAATAAGAATAAAAATATTGCAGAAAGACCTTGTTTAATAGGTGTCATACATTGTAGTTTGGCACATCGGATTTAAGGAATAGTGAATTTGTACATCACATAATTATTGGCACAATGCAAATGCACTTCAGAATTAATAACATATCTTTGTGTCTAACAAGAACTAGAGTTTGCCTTCTGAATTAAGAAAACTTTGTATTATATAAAAAGGCCTACCGTAGTCAGAAATAGATATTAGTCTAACTTTCTAAAACTGCATTATATTTCAAAATGTTATATTTCAATATTTTATGTTACAAAATACTATATTTCAAAATTTCAGCTTGACACTATTACTAGTAAAGTAAATTGCAGGGGTTTCTGGCATTGGTCACACTGCTTTAGACATGTCTGTATATTCCTAAGGTAAATACTATACATTTTAAGATGGTTATATGCAGGTTTCATCATAGAGAAATATATTATTTCTTGATTAAAAACAAGTTGGAATGCTAGAAAATATACAAAAAGAGCGTTGCATATTTCATTTAACTAAAAATATTTGACATACAAATACATATGTGTACATAGTATTACATGTACAATTACAGAAAAAATTAGCAATATAAAGGTCGGTTTACTAGATATTTTGGCACACACATTACAATGTGCGCTCATAATTGCATTCATGTGCTCCCATCACCATAGATGGGTAGATGAGAGCACCTGAAAACTGCAAAAAAGGTATGCAGCCTTCATTGTTTAGACCCTGTGATATGACTGACAAAAGTTCATATTTGCGAACTAATTCAGGCAGCATGCACAGTTTTATCTGCCATCTTGCCATGATCTATATCATAGGCCAATAGTTGTAGTCATAGATGACTGTTGTTCTCATGAGCTCACTCTCGTCACTGCTCCATCCCGCTGGATCTGTCGACACAATCCCCATCTTTTTGGAGATGAGGTCTTTTAGCTCACCCACCTTCTTTGCTGCTGGGGACCTCATTTTAGTGTAGCACCTAATAGGGTCAGACAGTGCGTGATAGCATTGCTCGTAATAATCAAGCGCCCTCTGTAGTTGACCTTTGGCAGAACAAGTATCGCCCATGGTTTCAAATGTCTCTGCTATCTCCACGTTCCACTTCATATTCTTCAAGGCCCTCTGTCGCATCTCGAGGCAGCGCTGGAGGGTGTCCAATGCGTCGTCACAATCGCCAAGCCGCAGGGCTACCCAACCCTCGGACTGCAGAGCACGTGCCGTGTTGAGATGCTCCCCCAAGATTGGCATGGCGAGTCCGAAACCCTCCTTGAACATCTGACGCGCTCGGGCGAGGTCGCCGGACCTTGCGACTATCTTGGCCTCGATGAAATGGAGACAGAACTCCAGGATATTCTTTGTCTTGAGTTGCTCTTGGACTTTGTGTCCCTTGTTGACGAAGCGCATGGCTTCTTCAAGGTCATCATTACAACCGTAGACGATTGCAACGATATTGTAGCAAACTAGAAGGGTGCCACTTGGTTGGGTGCATAACCTTACATGAAATGAGAAGAGGAGAATTTAAGCCGGTATTACAGTACAATGTCATTTCAAAAGATCACCATCTTTGTACTAACATATCAGAATTACAAGGCATATTCAATTTCTTTTTTTTTTCTACATATGAAGGATTAGGAATATAATTTCTGCTCCATTTTTTTTTTCTTTACCATCAACCATTCTCCTAATTAAACCCCTATACCTGGATACCTAAGAGGACATCTAAGTAGACCGATGGCTCAAGAGACCAATGGTTCAAGATGTTGACAGCCTGTGAGATCAAAAATGTTGGTCTCATGAACTCTCGGATAAGGTTTAAACCTGGGAGATCAACATTGTTGGTATAATGGGCGGTCAGTTTGGTGAATCATGCGAGCTGTATTCATCCCTAAACTAAATGTCCATGTACATCATTGGGTGAATGGATAAACAAATAAAAAACATGTGGCACAACTTTCAGAAGAAAATTTGATCACCGGTCATACCTTTCGATGATATCCAGAGCTTGAAAGACACATCGCAGGGCTTGTTCCTTGCACCCCATATTTTGGTAGACCAAGGCCATGCAGTAGTAGTTGCGGCCTATGTTGAGATGGTCCTTCCACAGTCTCTTCTGGATTTTGATGCTCTCTTGATGACATGCTATACCTTCCTTGCAGTTACCTGCAATAAATTGGATTACAACATATTCAGTATAGTCTCATACTGTTCAAAGTCTATCAAAAGATACATAAGATAGATATTTTGATGTTCCATTTATGACCTCTTGTGGGTTTGAATGTAAAGATATGCTAGGAATATTGCTAATTGAGGATATCGCTAAGATCTGACCTAGCTTGCGGCTCTTTGTAAGTGTAAAGCGTAAAGCAGCTTAAAGAGGCCTGTTCATTTGTGACGTCCCTTGAGAGACCAATGGTGAGAGCAACCAGTGGCATGAATGGCCTGCCATAGTTTAAGTCCAACCTAAGTTGATCTTAGTCTTTGTGAAACACCCAGGTCTATTATAGATTCTTGCAGAATGCCCTGACTTCCAAGCTTATATATACTCACCATCCAGCCTGGCATGTACACATGCCATTTCAACCAGAGTCTGCTCCTTGAGTCTCCACAGCTGCATTCTGGGAGAAAGAACATCCTTCCCAGAATCCTCCTTGCAGTCGGACGCTGAGTCTTCCCTCAGGTTCCTTTCCAGCCTCTCTAACATTTCCAGTGTCTCTTCCTGGTAGCTGAAGAAGTAAGGAAAGATAAGTGTAACAATGGAACGTTCTGATTGATGCCTTACACAATTTAGTCAGAGCCTGATTTTTTACTGGATCTTATCGAAAAAGGAGGACAGACATCAAAGCCATGAATATCTATGTTTACTCTTTGACATTATCATGCCTTAATGGATAAATGAGTCAAATCATTTGTCCTGTATTATTACTATTGGTTTAAAAAAGTACTAATTTCTTTGAATAATTGGGGAATATTTCTTAAGGTTTAGAGCAAATTGGAGTATGTATCAGTCAACAGCTTATTAACACTTAGTTGTCGATAACTTTCCCATTTGTTGCGTACAAAAATTTATGTTTTTTCTCCTAATTATTGCCTTCTCAAAACTACCCAAAACATTATGAATAGCATATAAATTGTTGTTATTTTTTATGTGTCAGAACAAATGGGAAAGTTGTCTGCAAATACATCAAAGAGACACTACCAATTCAGCCAATTTGGAGAGCCCATACCTCTAAAGATTACAAATTTCAAACATTCGTAAATTTCTAATTTTTGTCTGATTTCATTCAAACTTTTGCCAGTTTGCTTCTCTGATGTTTCTGTTTTCCTGTAGAGTAGTTTGCTATCAAGTTCATTTTGAATTTCCTTCTAACTTCTTGTACATATATTTCAAGGTTACCCGATGGATAACTTTGGTCTGGCACTATCAAAGTAATGGAAGCCCAGGACAGACAAGATGGCGGCATGGTCCAGGCTATCTCCATCAGGTGCCAAAAGATCGAGTGCCTGACGATACGACTCTTCAGCATACTTCATGTCGCCATTTACATAGCGTACCAAACGACCTGAAAGGTCAAACAAACGACGGCTCAGATGTGAATCAAGAGTCTAGGAAATAAATCGGTCCACCATTGAGGGACAAAAAACTGTTACAATCTCATTCTATTTTTTTGCTTCACCTCTAGGATTCTGAAGATCTAAGATGCTATGCAAACACGAGAAACCTTTTTCATTAGATTGTCAAATAATTTTGAGGCCTGTGCCATAATTTTTACAAAATACCCTGGCACTGCTCTGAGGACACTTAGAACCATCTAATAAGACTTTGAGGATGATGCACCAGTAGCTTAAAGATAAACTTGAGTTCTGGTAAAAAAAGAAAATGAATTCTCACAGAATCTAACGAAACTTACACTGAATGTTCAAGATTACAAATAAATGTCATGTGCCAAACAATTTTGGAAGAAAATGTATACTGGCTGAGTAATGAGCATAGAAAGATAAGGAAATCAGGGTAGTACTAGCCCCGACACCATGTGTGTTGTCCCATATACATCTATCTATGTAAGTGATTGTATACTTTACCAAGACTCTGCCAAATTTATGATGATTTTGATGACTCTAGAACCTTGCATTACACACCATTACTTACATGCTATATGATCAACTTTTCTGATCCATTCCACACCTTTTCTTTCACAATGCAATCGCATTACCAGTACTCAAGTTTATCTTTAAATGCGATGTAAAATGTTTATGGCAATTCTATGAAAATGTCATGACTAGGACATAATTTACTTTGATTCAATGAGTAACAGTGATTTGTTGGAGAGGATGACACACTGCAATAATTCATAAGTTGTCTAGACTTATATAACCACTTTACAAAATTGTATTTTCCATGGTTAGTAATGATGACTTGGAATCTTGTCAGAGGATTTGTATGACATAGCACCAAGTCACAAACACCAACAACTAACCTATGCAACCTGCATACTGACTTCTGAAATTCAAAGGGACAATGGCAACAATACAACATGAAGCTCTTGGAGTAGAACCATAAGAACTTGGGAGTGTTTCACAAAGGCCAAGATCGACTTTAAGTTGGACTTAACTATGGCAGGCCGGTCACGCCACTGGTTGCTCTCATCATTGGTCTCTCAATTATGATCTTTAGACAATATTTTTGCCTTCAATAATGAATTATAAAAAATGTAAATTCTGTAGATTTGTGACCATAATTTGTACATCTCTTGAGCTACTAATGCCAGTAAATGGTGAGAGCAAACAGTGGCCTGAATGGCCTGCCATAGTTAAGTCCAACTTAAAGTCGATCTTAGTCCTTGTGAAACACCCCCCTTGTCTACCAGTCTAGGTTGAAAACTGGCCTTCAGTCCACATTTAGGAATTTCAGCCCACATCTCCAAAGGGGGAGTCTCCTTATTGTGCCTGATATGATCCCTACCTAGTGAGATGAGGATCCTAGCTTGACGTTGCTTGTCCTTCCTTCTCTCTGCTGCTTCCAGACACGCCTGGTAGAAAGAGATGGCATCCTCTGTCGGGATGAAGAGCAGGATGAGCTGCCTGGCCTGGTAGGCTACTTCAACAAAGAGATCATAGTTGTCTTCAAAGCAGTGGATAGCTTCCTATAGATGAACAAAATGACAGCAAAGTACTACAGAGTAAATGCTATAAGCCTCTTCAGAAATAGCACTTGTACAATTAAACGACTCCCAAATATCTCTAAATCCTGTATGGATGGATAAATCTCACTTTGTGCATTTGAAAAAAAACACTGCCAAAGTGATGGAGGTGCTTCATTCTACCTGTGTACCACAGAATGTATCACTGTTGTTAATACATAAATGAACAATGACTACATAACTTTCAAGAACACGTATCCAGCTGTTGTCTCGGTGGGTTTGACAATTTTGGTACAAATGACCTAGCTTTATCTGCCCATGCACAGAGAGTATCTCTAAAGTGGTTCATGGTACAATGTACTGGCGTAGCTGCAGGGAAAGCACCTTCCATCTCACCCCGCCCCCTCCATCAACTTGCACAAAAAGGGGAAAAGAGAAAAGCAAACTTAAAGGAAAAGGAGAAGAAAAAAATTACAAGAAAAGAAGATGAAGCCCCCCTCACCTGTAGTGGCTGGATCCTTCACCACTGGTACATTATACTTGTACATGAACATTGTATGCTCAGGGAGCAATTTCCTCTGCAATGCTTAAATTGATAAAAAAACTAGTATGCACATGTACCTGCAACAATTTTTGCATGTTCTGTAGTTCTGCTGTGAAGATAGGAAGTGACTTGCAAGCATTGTCCTGCTCCAGCAAGTCTGCTGCTCGGTGCAACAGTCGAGCATAGAAACCACAGTACCTCACTCTCACCAGGGCCGTCTCTGCTGGCGTGAGGAAGAGGCTGTACCGTTCTTCAATGTACAGGCGGAGAAAGGAGAGGATGTTGAAACGCTTGGTGAGCGTATCCATGGCGATTAGAGAGCGTGTGTGGAGGGGGATGAGAAGATCCCTCTTGGCGCAACACGTGGGATTGGTGTTGGTGATGCATGCTGCAGCATCGGCTATAAACATAAGGAGATGTGAATGGGGTCGAGTAACTTTGAAAATCAGATCATTACAATAGAAAAATATGTATTGTTCATTTGAAAGAAAGATTGAAAGAAAGATTGGAAGAAATAAATCACATCTAATCAAAAGTCTGCATAATGTTACATGAAGGTGAACATTCTGGGTAACTAGAATCTACCATGAGTCAAACAATTCAGAAAATTTCCTCAAATGCATGCACAGGAGCAGTAAAGTAATTGAAATAAACAATTGGAGGAGACTTGTTGTAAAATTTCTTCTGCTACTGAATAGCCCCTCCCCCTAAAGAGTTGACTCTTTTATCACATCACACTTTACTTATGCTCTCCTGTGATTATTCTAATAACTCTGCTATTTCCATGCACAAATTCTAAGATTGAAAACAGATGGCATGAATAGAAGAATGAAATTGAAAAATCTACTAGGAGTTTACCCAAGTTAAGATGAAAAATGAGCATCATAATACAGAAAGCGGCACATAATTTTAGAATGAATAGTTAACCTGTTGACCTTTGGCTATATCCTGTGGATTATATACCATAATCAAATCGTATCCCAATGGGTTGATAACCTAATGGAAAAAGAAGAAAGAGTGCAGTAAAATCGCATTAAATAAAAGATAAGGAAACAAAAACCTTGTGTTTAAATATAGCGAAATAATTTTGCTGGTCCCAATTTTCTATATTCTAAAGTGGAAAAAAGAATGAATGAAGGTTGTGAGGTACCAGTGAAAGAAGCACCGATGAAATTCAACTGCGTGAGTCGTTTCCGTAAAGGGCGAGATAACCCATTCACACTGCTCTCCATCAGATGCTCCAGAGTTTGCTTGACCCCATTAGAAAGATAATCATCCCCTCTGCTCCTATCATCTCCATTGTCATCATCAACCTCACCACTCCCATCCTCATCCCCATCCCCGGGAGTGGCTTGAGAACGTGTCGCCCTCTTCCTGCGATCCTTGTTGCGGAGGTCATTGATGATGTCAGCAGGTCGGTGCCTCTCGTCCCTCATGTCGGCTCCTACGAGCTCCAGGGCAAAAGGGATCCCGCCGCACAGCTTGATAATCTCATCGATGTGCTCCTTGTTGCTAGACTCTTCCAGACCGGTTGCTATGGAGAAAAGAAGTTCTTTGGATTCATCTGGTGAGAGTGGATTTAAGTGGATTAGCAGCACCTGCAAAGAAAAATGGGAAGAGAGACATTGATTTACAAGTGCTGGAGCAAATTTTGAAGCAAATGAATGGTGCAGTAATATGATGAACAATAAAAACTGGAAGTATATACTTCCACCTACATATATAAGTATTTGGTACAGAGTCCTTACTTTGCAGTTACAAAATGTAGTGTCTGGGCCATCTTGGGCCTTAGTAATAAAATGCTTTAAAAATACAATTTCAAACAATAACAACAAAACAATCATGTTCATCCAAATTCAGATATAATGGCAGTCTGATTGATATTGGTGTAGAGGAGAAATTCTAGAAGGGAACGATAGGGTGTTATTATGATGTTAAACACATAAACTAGGAAGATAATAATTACCGATGATATTCTACTCATTGTCATGATTAAATTTCTATTTATTCATGTAAAATAGATCAGCCAGTTTGTTCTAACCTTAAGTGTCACACTATGTAATGAATTTGAGGTTTGCTAACATTTAGTGCTAACAATAGTACATGACTACCTGATTCATGATTCTGATAAAGTTGAACTTCCACTGAGATGTGATCATTATGAGCACCCGAGATGACCCCCCAATGACCTCTTGACACAGCTCCATGAAACCACTCTGAAGGTCGTTACCCCCAAAGCACTCTGCTCCATCCAAGACGAAAAGATGCCACTCCTCCAGGTCACCCAAAACATCTCCAATGCCACGCATCATCCCATCATCTCTTTGTTGCCACGGTAACAGAGCTGACGCCATCTTCATCTCCACTTGGCGTGGGTCACTGAGTCCTTGCAGTTCAACAGAGTGGACGTTGAGCTTGACGTCGACAAACTTTCGAAGCTCCTGAGCAGCCTCGGCAGCAAAGCGGGTTTTCCCGACCAGTGGACCTCCACAGATGAGCGCCAGCTTGGTCAGTGGGTGGACGACCTCATCCCCCTGTCTCATGTAGGTTAGTATAGTGCTTGTGAAGGCTTCGACTACATTGTTTATTTGATGCCTCCTTCCAATGAACGGAAGTTGTTCAGGTGCACTGTGGAGCACCTCTGACATCTTGCAAGAGATAAGTATTTTTTCTAAACTTCTAGATGTACAGACCTAATTTTAAAAGACAACTGAAGAAAAAGACACATGGCTACTGTTCTAGTTAAAAAATATATATCTTGAATAAACCATTGGTTATTTTGAGTTTTTAATGATTTTGTCAATTATGAACAACCTTTAATTTGTTACAAAAGAATTTTCGTGGAAATCCCAGTGTTGTGAAATTTTAAACTTCTTTCCTTGTTCCTGTCCCAATAGGCAATATCTAGCAACCAAACATTTTGTTTAGAAATTTACAGAATTAATACACACATTTTGGTCAGAATACTCCTATTAATGATGATATTAGTATTACTACATCTGTTTTTATATAGCATAATTCAATCCTGAATAGGTCTTTTTAGTTTTAAGGTCCTAAAATGGATTTACATTGCTGTATATTTTATTTTTAATAATTAAGAGTAGATAACCAATGTACAACAACCAGTTTATGGAACAAGAAGAACAAGCAACATATCTTCTTGACTAAATAACAGTAAGGCCTACAAAAAAAACACGTTGTATTGCCCTTTAGGTGCCAAAACATGGGTCGGTCGGTCTGGAATTTTTTTTTTCTCTTCCTCTTTGGGATGATATTTTTCAGTATGAATGCTTTTTTTAAATTATTGAACATTTTCTTTTTTTAAACGGTTAAAAATTAAAAGCCGACCATAGATTTCAGTATTTTGGGGTCGGTTGCAAAGGGCAATACAACATTTTTTTTTTAAAGGTCTTAATGTACACAAGCATGACAAGTAAACAGAGAGCATACAATGTATTAACTCAAACAAATGTTCACATAAAAAGAATGAGCTAGCAATTGAGCACACATTACACAGTGAGAGAAAAAAAATACTAGAAACAGCCTCTCACATACCCTTGTGTGAATAACGATTCCAATCAACGTCAGTCAATAGATCACTGATGTGAGCACAGCAGTGGAATAACAGTACACCACAACTTTCATTGACGACGTGTCATCGCATTGCCATTGCTTTTGCCAACTGCATCTTTTTATCACACACCCTTTCTCTGGCATACATCGGGGTAAATCTGCATGCAAAGTCACTCGTTTGTAATATTACCCGTCAATTCATGCTGCCAATTAACTCTTCAATTATTTGTTGTTGTTTTTCTCTCATATCGTCTTGCGTTGGAAGCCAAGTCCATTAGCTAGTTTCTGTTTTATTACGTGTGTGTATACAATCGCACGCCTCGTCGACTTAGGGGATTCCCCTACTCACAGTTCCATTGTATTTACTATATGACATCATATATCAACAGAGGGCGACATAATCCCAATCATTTTTGTCCTGCTCTTTTTGTATGGGACGACCAATTTTCAACATACTTGCAGGAAGAAGAAAAAAATTGTTTCTAGGGGGGGGGGGGGGGGGGGGGTAATACTTTGATTAGTTTAATAATTATTCATAACAGGTATCAGGCTAAATATTAGTATTACAATGTAAGTATATAAAGTTGATGCTTATTAATTATAGAGTTTGTTTATCATCATGATTTTTGTTTTAACTAGTTTGTAACTTTGAAAAAGACCATGAAGAAAATAAAATAAAATCAATTATCTATGAGTAATGATGAAATAATAGAAATTACATGGAGATACATGTACACTCCAAATTTATTAGCCATGAAGGCATGACCTTAGGCCGAGATATAATCCTTCGAGCTTGAACAGTTAACTGAAAACAGGCTTTCAAAATAATGTATCCTTGTTTGCTTGCATCTATACCCGCCCCCCCCCCCCCACTCCGTGATCGGAGGGATACCATGCGTGTTACCAAAATGTCCGGTAAAGGGGTACTTTTCAATCACCAAAGTCCGGATCGTAGTACACAAAAGTCCGTTTTACACACCGGACTTAATAGGGGTGTCCCGGTGGGGTCACTCCCCTGCAAAGAGTGACACGTATGACCGTTACCACCAATGCATATAACCCCCTTTTGCGGTCAATTTCAAGGACATTTTGTGAAATTGAACCCCCTTTTTTACGTCAAAACAAGGACAAAATCGTACTTTGGAATACCCCTATTTATAAGATTGTAAGGACACTTTCGCAAATTTACCCCTATTTTACAATATTTCAAGGACAAGACTCGGCTCCGAGAATTTTTCTTCCCGGTTTTCTCTTTTCCCTTTTCCTGACCCCTATTTTTCAATTTCGGGGACACCTGTGCCCCTGTGCCCCCCTATTTTCTTTATTTCGAGGAATATTTTGTCCGCGGACATTGCTTGAAATTGACCCCTTTTTCCGCGATTTTGGTAACGGTCATGCGGTCCGGAAGTCACATTGAGTGACCCCACCGGGAGGGGTGTAGGAGGGAACATGCATAATTATGCGTACCCTAAATAACACTGAGTGGGGGGGGGGGGAATCTATAATCAAGGCAATTACGTCAAATCTCTATTTACATAGGCCTATATATGAAGAGAAAAATATTGATTGGTAAAAGCTAGGGGCCAGATTATAGCACATGTGCTTATAGTCGAGCCTAACCCCGTAACAGCAGTGAACGGAGTATTTTAGTAAAAGTTACTTCAGAAAACGAAAGAAAACAATTACTATTACGATACAATCGATATTTTTTAAAAGAGAATCAAGAATACATATACTTTTTATACTATATAGATTTCTTGGTCGGACCATAAACCTTGTTCCCTCGAAATAACAAAAGTTTGCTCGTCGATTGATCACTGATTGCATGGTATTAATTATATAGACTATCAAATGAATTGATAAGGATTTGGGAATGACTTAAACATCCCCGCTTGACGTAAACCCACTGGTTTGCAAGTTGTTGTGTTTTTTTGGCGGGGGGGGGGGGGCTCTAGGGGTGTATGCCTGGTCCATAATATGAAGCATCTGGTTTAAAAAAAAATCAACAAAAGCCTAGTAAAATAAGATGCAATTCATAATTTCAAACAAGTATATCTTTCTATTGCTTGGGTTAATTGGGCCCCGGCCTTCCATCGACCTACCTTCAATGGGGGGGGGGGGGGGGGGGGGGGAAACACTTTTTTCCACAAAAAAAAAATCTTTCTCCCTTTTTTTTCCTTCTTTTTTTTTTCCCTTTTATTCCCTTCTTTTTTTTCCCCTTTTTTTTTGTCCTCCCTTTTTTTACTCGGGGGGGGGGGGGCGGGCCCCCGGCCCCCCTGAATCCGCCACTGAGCTAGGGGAGGGGTATCTAGCTCAACTGATAGGGGTTCAACCCAATGCTAGCTAGGAGTGTGGCTGAGTGGTTTATCTGTTCATGGGTATCTTAAACAGAAGGTCCCAGATACGAATCTAGTAGTGCCCTCATGCATGTCAAGTAGATTCCCGACAATGACAATGACAATGATTTTTTATTTCTTTAACGGCCCCTCCTGGGGCATGGAAGAAATACAGTTTAATAATGTTGATATTGATATTGATATTTTTTTTAACATACACAGTAAATCTTCAAAAACAAGAAAATCTTTGGCAGCGAACAACAAACAAATAAAGGCAAGCTTAAGGATTTAGGTCTAAAAATACATGATAACCTACATCTCAACTGGCAGAACTAACACTATTTTTCATATATATATATATATATATATATATATATATATATATATATATATATATGTGTGTGTGTGTACACTATAACTCTAACGTATTAAAAAGGACAAAACAAATTATCCAAAATTAGACATAATGATCTTACAAAATGTGGAAAGGTTCTTTAACTGCTTAACAGAATTTGCATTGAATAACTGATGAAATTTGATAACGTTCGGTCGACTGTAATAATATTTCTTAACATACTGCTTTCGAAAGTCATTGAAAGCTAGGCACACCAAAACATAATGAAATTCATCACCCTGTATCTTAATTACATAGGGAACATATTAAACTCAAGAGGTTGATCAGATAAATAACGACATTTGGTAACTGGCAGCTTATTATCACCACAACGAAACTTACAAAGAGGTATCCTATCACCTACGTCCAATTTCAACAAAATGTATAACTCTCCAAACCACCTTCCTGTTTAAAAAGCCTATAATTAAAGCATAAACGATGAACTTCATTACTCCAATTTTGCAAATCAATATCGTTTAATCTAAGGTCCAAAGCTGACTTAACCCAACCAAGGTTCAAGGGGGTATCCTCAACCCACAAGTTTAACATTCCACTCTTGTCTAGGATACTTTTGACTTTCACAATCCACCTTAATTAAAAATCACAACTTTCATGTAGCTTACGTATCAGACTATAAATAATGTATGAAAGCTGAGATTTTTTACCCTGACTAACCCTCGCCCAAAAATTGATCATACGTTTCTCGACTTTACTAGCTAAAGCAAATCTACCAACTTCGCCATAAACCATACAGTTTGCAGTGCCACGGTTAAGTTTAAGCAAGCTTTTAAGATTTTCTATGAAATATTTCAATACAGTCTACTTCTGAAAACCCCAAACCTCACTACCATATAATAAAATCGGGACAACTAACTGATCAAAAAGTTCACATTGAATATCAAGAGGTAAGCACAATATACTTCCCTGCCTTGATGGGCAATTGATCTGTATGTATATTAATATGTGAATAGGTAAAAATGTCCGGAAAATGTACAGTCAGGCCTGAAGAAAAAAAAGATGTTGTCTTGCTCTTTGCGATCGAACCCAAAATCTGTTGTTGTTTTTTACCATTTTTTAGAAGGAAAAATGTTTAATGAATAAAAAAAAAAATGTATTAAAGGTATACTATGTCTCTTTTGCAGCCAACCTCAAATTCTGTAGAACTTTGCAGGAATTATGAATATGTCATGTATGTCCTATCTGTGAAGTTAAAATGTTAGCAGTGTCCTAATATTTGAATTATGCAAGGAAACCTGTTTACTTGCTAGACTTCACTGTCAGACACTATTGAGTGACTGACTGGCTTTTTTCTTCTTTGATAGTAACATACATAAAATGAGCGGTAAAGGGTACAAGAGTATTTGTCTACATCAATAACCCACTTCTTGTGATGGCCAAAATTAAACTGATTGAATCTTTGCGCAGCATAAAACGTATGACCATTCAGTACAATGGTCTGAAAACCAAGACTATTACTTATTGGCTCTATAGCTCCTAAGTCGATTTGACAACTAATATATAGTCGTTATTTTCCCACTTGAAGACATTTTCAAGCCCCACCTTTTTTTTTATAGAGAAGTTCTAAATTAATATTATCTTTCAAATGCCGTTGGAACTTAACCTTTTCATTTTTTTTGGCCTGCAAATGGGACATAGCTATAGTACCTTTAGAGCTTTCAAAACTGAAAAATATCAGCCCAAAGAGGGAGAAAAAAAAAAGAGAGAAAGAAAGAAAAAGTTTGTTTTTCTATATAAAGGGCACTGAATTATTACATCGTTTTGTTATAGGCCTCATTGTAAATATTAATTGAAAGAGGGAAAATAAATGAATTGAATTGAATTAAATTGAATTAGTGGCTTTAATCCTCAATATCAAGTAAATCGGGAAGAAGGCCCACTTTGCCGGTGCTTTATCGGGTAACTGTTACAAAGAAATCATCATGCAATGACATGCAAAGTGCCAATTAAACAGTTAGCTTCGTCTCGCCTCTGGCCCCGTTCCCGCTGCCTGCTCATTTCACTCGACAGGAGGTGAAATATATCACGCGGATGCCAAGCGCAGAGTGGCCAGGTCGGCCAGGCAGTGCTAAGTAGTGCGACGTGACGCGCGACGCAACTGCAACTAGGCCTAGTGGTTTTTAGCTAGTGTACGTGGAATGATCGTCGTAGAGGAAAACGTCTGAAAAAGTGAATGGCTACTGTGTGGCTCCCCTTTGTGTATTGCAGTTTGTACATATGTACCGTGCTGATTAACAAGGTAATGTATGTATTGAATATCTAGTGGAAAAGGCTCTCAGATTTTGCTGTTGATGTAATATTACAGCCTTTATCAGCATTGGTTAGCCACAATTTGGGCTGCCCCACGCATTCAAATTGGTGTTACTGTAACTCGGGGAGCTCCGACGCAAAAGCCGAAGGCGTCCGCGTCCGACGCCTTCGGCATCGGCGTCGGAGCTCCCTGGAGTTAGTGTTATTGTAGATTATACAACACCTACGTGGATCCCTGTCATTCGATTGGAGGATTATTGGTCACATGATATTAAATAGATGGTATATTGCACGGTCGTGCATTTTTGGTTATATGCGCCGTGCATTTTTGGTTATATGCAGACTGCGTACCTCTCTGCCGTGCGCGCGCGTATCCCTGCGTGTATCTGACGCGAAGGCAATCTGAATGTAATCGAGAAGGCTTGAATCCAACTTGAATTTATCTTTAATATAAGGAGTAAAGCATAATTTGTTGATTAACGTTCTATTAGATCTTCTTCGATATGTTGTATAAAACAAATAATGAATGTTTTTCATTCGTTCAATGGTGCGAATATTTTCATTCGTTGAAAGATTAACATTAATTCTATTCAACTCGGCTGACGCCTCGTTGAATAGAATGTTAATCTTTCAACTCATGAAAATATTCGCACCATTGAACTCATAACCATTCATTATTTGTATACTATTGCGGTTAAATGAATTATTGCATACTGCTAGGCATGGAAAACAAATGAGCCTAGACTTTCCTAGAGGCACGATACAAACTGCTGCATGTTTAAACAAATTTACCTATTTTTATTTTATTTTTATTATTTTTTCTTATAAAAACCTTTTCTCAACAGTGATTAGTCTAGATCTAGACTAGACCGAATTTTCCGTCTCTTTCGTTCGTTAGCCTCTTATTGGGGTAGGGTCGGCTCTCTCTTTAGAGACGGAAACCGTCTATACACATTCCCTTGATAACGCCACGGCCATTTCAGGTCGTAGCGTTTTGTCCCCAAAATCCCCCAAAATGTCATTTTACCTCGTGCATGTTATATTGTAAATTAGGCCTAGGCTATAATAAATCAGTTCCACTTACCAACTTGACTGAAATAATCAGTTTAATAGTCCCTTTTTAGGAATTTATGGGTCAAAATCGAAATCCATTTTGAAAATTTTTTTCAACATGGATTTCGATTTTGACCCATTTATTTCAGTCAAGTTGGTAAGTGGAACTGATTTATTATAGCCTAGGCCTAATTTACAATATAACATGCACGAGGTAAAATGACATTTTGGGGGATTTTGGGGGCAAAACGCTACGACCTGAAATGGCCGTGGCGTTATCAAGGGAATGTGTATAGACGGTTTCCGTCTCTAAAGAGAGAGCCGGCCGACCCTACCCCAATAAGAGGCTAACGAACGAAAGAGACGGAAAATTCGGTCTAGATCTAGACTAGACGAAAGCCTTTGAAATTAAAGTTTGACTAGACTCTAGGTCTAGATCTAGTGAATAAAAAAAAAGTAAAGCTTAAGTTTAAAGAGTTAAAATAAGTATTCAAATCAAATTAAATTATGATTCTATCATTCATCATCATCATGATACGAGGAGAGGTAGATCCTGTAATCCTCGGTCACTTCTTCAGGGTTGGTTATGTTCTAGAGGTTAACTCATTGCACATGCGCAGGTTTAGGACGGTTTTGATCATATCATTAACTTAATTCAAATCGCTCAGACCACCAGTGCTTATCCAGTCTCATCTTGAAGATATCAATGGAGTTTTAGTCAATTATTTCTTGAGGGAGACTATTCCAGTCGGACACCACTCTGTTGCTGAAAAAGCATTTCCTTATGTTTAGACGAGACCTTTCCTTGAAAATCTTTAGAGAGTGTCCTCGGGTTTGAGTATTCAGTGATAAGGTGAAGAAGTGACTTGGGTCCAGCTTTACTAAGCCCTTTAGTATTTTGAAAACTGTAATGGCATCGCCTCTCCGTCTCCTATAGTACAAGGAGTGTAGGTCTAAAATCTTTAGCCTGTCTGTGTAGGGAAGTTCTCTCGTCTCTGTCATCATCTTTGTCGCTCTCCTCTGGACCCTTTCAACTTTGTAGCCATCTTCCTTCCAGCGTGAATTCATTGGAATTCGTTAGATTCTACCTGTTGGCATGCCTGCATGGTGATGACAATAAATTACATAATGATGGTTAGGCTATCCCTAATGAGGATGATGATGTAATGATCTTGGTAATATTTTGTTGTCATGTGGCTTTAGCTGTAATACCCCCATAAGGCATTTTATTTCACCTGGGTAGAGAGAGCAGCAGATGTAGAGCACTTTCTAATGTGTCTTTTCTTCAATAAATTTGATTCAGTATGTGCTGTGGGTACTTGGCTTCACCTACCCCACCCTCTTCCAAGGTTGGCAAACCCTGGTGGGGTTCCTGGTGCTTCGTTTCGTTGCCTCCCTCGGCCACATCGAACTTAGCAGCAGCTTCACTGCGTGAGTATACAAGTAGAGAGAGAGAGAGAGAGAGAGAGAGAGGGGGGGGGGGGGGGGGGGAGATTGGACAATCTGAATGAGTCAGTTATCTAGAAAAGAGTGGTTGGGAAAGATCTTGTTGTGTGCTGATAAATAAATAGAGAGGGATGGGTGAGTTAAAAATAGAGTTTGAGAGAGGAATGTGAAATTATGAATTAGTGAGTATAACAAGTGGAGAGGGTAAAAGCTATTAAGCTAACTAGTAATAGTACAAAGGAGTGCAGAAAACAGTTTGGATCAGTTCATACCAAAGAGGAGTAGGTTGTTGGAAGGTGGGTTAAGTAGAGATGGGTAGGGCTATGTAAATAAGTGTGTCGGCAAGTAGATTGAGATTGGAAACTGTCAATGGGTTAGCTTATACCACATAACAGGGTTGTTGTTAATGAGTGAAAGCAACATGTCATGTTGGAAATGTGAGCTACAAAATAGAAATGGGAAGGGAATGATTGAGAAGGATTAGGCAATGCTGCAAAGAAATTAAATGTACATTTCTGTACAATTATTTGTATATTTAGGGGCTTATGTTCTAGCCTTTCAACTTTGAAACATTATTACTGCTGGATAACTATTTGATTCACACCATGAGAATAACTATGGTCGTTGAAATCTCATTTAAGATTATTCCATATTTCTGATTATTTTCTAGATCTGCACTCTTTCAGTGGCTCCCTGCAATGGTTCTCTTTGTGGGTGGTATCTACTCAGGATCCAGAGCACTTGCAAGATTGGTAAGAAATGGTTAAAGTTCATACAGTAGATCCTTATTGAAGCAATCTTCAGTGGTGGATGCATGTCCAAGGGGCATGGGCCGTTGTGTCCCCCATCAAATATATCTTTAATACATATTGAGTAGGGAAGAAAAATGTGCCATTCATTTTTGCGCACCTCTCCCCATGGAAATCAAGATTTAGACTCCAAAATAAATCCAATCCCCCCATAATTTTTGTTTGCATGTCAGAATTTTCTTTTCTCTAAATAATGACAATTCTCTGTCTCTTTCTCTGTGCAATTTCATTATGTCTCAATGTTTCTCCTATGAGAACACTTTTACATTATACAGGTGCTTGCATGCAAGATATAATACTTTTACACCATACATGTATGTATGTATGTAGACTGAATGTCTTGAAAAAGTCCACTTTGGTGGTCTATTGTTTGATCATTAGTTCATCAAAACTAGCAAAGAGTTAATTACAATTTTTGCTTGTTCTCTCTCTCTCCCTCTTTTTCTCTTGTCATTAGCCGATTCCCATCTTTCTTTGTCTGCAAGGACAAGTGGAGGTGATAACATCAGTTGTGGTGGCCTTGCTTAATAAACAGAATCCTAAGCCTCAGGTGGCTTGCAGGTAAAGATGACATCTATCTGTCACGTTCTCCCGACTTGGGAAGTTGATGGCAACTTTTTTTAACACATCTGTGTTCTTTGTGATGCTAGGGCACTCTTGCAGTGTTATTCCTCCCCAGGTTTTAAAGCCTATCTGCACTAATTTGGCCAAGAGGGATTAGACTTCCCTGCCTGGTCACTGATAGGTGGTTATCTCATCAAATCAGCTCTCAATTAGCATAAGAAAAAGGGGACCATGGGGGACCAACAGGTACCCCTTAGGCATTGTTTACTATATAGAGGGCGCAAGTAGCTACAAGTAGTGCCGTCCCGCTTTAAATTTCTGTTCTCTTCTCAACTGGTTCTTGGCTTCTCTCTTGAGCTGCTTCTATCTACCTTACCTTCCTCCAAATCTTTCAAGATTTGTTTTTTCTTTTCTTTAATATTACCAAAGAAGTTTGCCTTTTTGGTCACTAGTCAAAGCTGGATAGTTTTGATTTTGGCATACCAAACAGTCTCCATCGATCAAACCCAGATTCTCTTGTCAACCCATAGATATACAATTTGAGTCAGGTATGATAAATCATATTTTACAAAACACCTTATGGAACCATCTTCCATTTAAAGTCAGTGAGCAACAGTGTAAATCCAATTTAATTCAGTTAATAAATTTATCCAACAGGAATACAATTGATAGGAGCAGTCGCACAGAGTTTTACATTCACCATCTTCTTCGCATTAAAAAAACCTGTTTGCATGGAATAATATAGTAACATTAGTACGTCTTTATATTTTCCGTTTGTTTTAGTTGGCTGATAATGACTGCTTCGGGTATTACAATATGGCTGACAGATCCGCAGGTTAGTCATCAACTAGACAATTACTTCTACATTGTTATTTTTTATTTATAACATTTTGAAAGCAATTTTTATCCTGCTTGCCTATTGGGATTTTATAAACAGTGAAGTGAAAATCATATAAGGTACCAGTACAAGTATAATTGGAAGTCAGTTTGACTGCATGACCGTGCCCTATGCTGATGTTACGATGCATCATTTCATCTATTTCTGGCTCATTTTCTATTTTTATGATATATGATAAAGGGGACTTTATTACATTTTCAGCTACAGGTAATTGTATTTTTGAGAGAAAACACCTATGAACCAATCGGGAGAAGATTTACTGGTATTTATTGTATTACATGTACATGAATTTTCAGTGGCCTTTAACCTCATTATTCTTAAGTTTATATACAAGTGTGAAGGAATCCATTTGAATTACTGTTAAATGATTTAATATCTTGACAGTATGACCAGAGTGGCTACAAGTGGATGTTCTTACATGTCGTCGTCTCAAGTCAAAGTGCAATATATATGAAATGGCAGAAAACATTTATTATGAGGTAAAGCATTCAATTGGCATATTAGGGAGAGAGGGAGGGAGGGAGGGAGGGAGGGAGGGAGGGAGGGAGGGAGGGAGGGAGGGAGGGAGGGAGGGAGGGAGGGAGGGAGGGAGGGAGGGAGGGAGTGAGGGAGGGAGGGAGGGAGGGAGAGAGAGAGAGAGAGAGAGAGAGAGAGAGAGAGATGGAAGGGAGGGAGGGAGGTGGTGGGAGGGGAGGGAGGGAGGGGGAGGGGAGGGGAGGGAGGGAGGGGGAAGGAGAGAGGGAGGGAGAGGTATGGAGGGAGGGGAGGGAGGAAAAGTTTGATGAATGATGAGAAGTATATAGGGATTTAAAAAAATAGGTAAAGAAAATTATACAGTTTCAATTTTGTAATTGATATACCGGTACCTGTACACTTTTACATGTATGCACTAAATTGCATTATCAAACTTATCTTTGTTTGACTTGCTTGGAAAAATCATTCAATTCAATTCAAATTTATAGAAATGGAAACCAGTCTTGATTGTTATGCTTTAAAATCAGTCAAATACAAATATGACTGAATTGAATTCTAACCTATCCTATATCATACAAAACAGAATGACCATAATGGTAGTCATCTTGTCTTCAAAACTTTCTCTTTGTCCCCTTTTTTTTCTAGTGATATAGACAGACTTCATTATATTTATGCCTTCAGTGTGTGTGTGTTTGCTCCAGGAAGCTTTTTATTAGGTGAGTTCCATTTCATATTTTATTGGCTTTAATCTAAAATTCATGGAGAATGCTATGAACAGCACGTCTAGGTGACACACATGAATAAAAAGCATCAAAAACAAAACAAGACATCTATGACGATAGCAACCGTTTACATATATATTATTTGCAAAACACGATTTAAAAAAACAAAGAAAAGAAGAGATACAACTCTCTTATAAGACTGTATTGTAATCATATTCCCGCAAGCTTTTAAATATACAGTGTATAAGCATTTGAAAAATCAACTATTTTCATTTTTTAAATTTACTATTGAATTAAATACCATTATATTGAAGGATATGCAAATGGATTTTTTTTCTGTCTCATACACATGTTCTCTGTATAAAATAACATAATATTTCATTGGGATCGTGTCAGATGTTGTTATTGTTGACAAACAAATGATTAAATCAAATTCTTCTTAGAGCAGAACTGAATAAAGATTTTTTTTATATCCTCAGGTGATCTTATGTCTTCAACCAATTTTCCCTTCTGGTACATGCAACATTTCTATCTTGGGTGCATGATGAGGTAGGCAAATCATTCATTCAATTGTCTTTGAACCCTTTGTATTGCTCTTTAGATGCCAAAACATGTGTCGGTTGGTCGGAAATCTTTTCTCTTTTTTTAAAATACTTTTTTTCTTTTTTCTCCCTCTTTGGACTGATATTTCTCAGTTTTGAATCCTTAATTTTTTTCTTTCTAAAAAAACAGTTAAATTCTATATAGTATGCATTGTAATAGACTCATCTTGCATGGATTAATTGTGTGTGTGTGTTTGCGGCTAACACTGAGCCATATGATGTGTATTTTACCAACTAAGCATGGTTTTACAGTTCCATGTCTAAATCTAAACATAATAAACAGAATATGAAATACACAAGTAATAATAAAGTCACTGAAATTCATGTAGACAGGCTCCAATATGGAGCATACATATGTACCTCACTTCTAATTTTGTTATGGACCGAGTTGAAATGATTCTGCATTAAAGACTCACAGAGGCCCCATGCATGTAGATAAGCAGTATTAGCAGCGTGCACATACAAAAACAAATTATAATAATTTGTTTTTTGGCACTAACGTCACCTAGAAATGTAGTAATAAACTGGACTAACAAACAACAATCAACAGTAATAGATCTGATTATTGAATGTTCATAATAGTTATACAAGTTATGTACACCAAAGGGGGATAGAATAGAGATAAATTTTTGCCCAACTACATGTATACTAGTGGTAGTGTGATTTTCTGATTATCCCACACATTGCACTGTGTGTACTGCCCTTGCAGCTAGTGCAGGCAAGTAAGTAGTCACACTTATCACCATACACAAACTTATTCCCATTTCACCTCTAAACTTGAAATTTAACAAGACTGATAGTCCTCTGTTTGATCTAATTTATATCCAATGTTTCCCCTTTCTTTAACAGTGGTATCTTAGGAGTAACCCTGGCTTTATGTCATCTGTACATGAAGCATGCTTTTCCAGACTTTGTTCTCTCCCTCACTGTCTCCACATCCAAGATCTTGTGTGTGGGCATTTCCACTCTCGTCTACCTCACAGTCTTTAATATACATTTCTTCCTCAGGTATTTTCACATTTGTTTTTTGTTTCTTCTTCTTTTTTTTTTCCTTCTAATTTATTTTTTTTCATTTAATTTTTTTTTTATTCATTTACCATTGTTATGATGATTACAATTTTTTTTTTTTTTTTTTTTTTGGGGGGGGGGGGGAATGTTTGTCCAAAATTCGCTTGTTACAAGGGAACATCTCCTGCATTGTTGAATCACCTGTCAATGTTTCTAACTCTCTGTAAAAAGAGCAAGAGCAGGGACAATTCCCCCAAATTATGACAAGAAAAAAAGGTTTATCAGGCAAAAATTGAAAGAAATAAAACAAGGTGGGGGGGGGGGGGGAGATTTATCTTATACCGGACAACAACAATCGCTTAAAAGGGGTAAGGGACCCTGTGATACCCCCAGTCCCTGAATTTCCCCCATAAAGAGATATCAATCAATGTCCATTCTGGTTTTCAACATATTTCAATGTGCTATTGATTTAAAAATGTTTATCGTTTATTTTACTCTATTGACTGATTTTGTTTGATTAAGATTGAGGTGAGAGCATGTTGATAACCTGATTAAACATTTAAATGTTAAAGGTACTTCTATTTTGTAATTCCCTATGACTAATTCTTCATGTACTTGTCAACATATCATTTCACAGACAGTTAAATGAAACAAACTACCGGTACATGTAAATATAAAGAATGATAGTTTCCTCATAGAAGTCAAAGTCTTCAACTACAGGAATAGTCATCAGTAAACACTGTTTTCTTAACTGTGTTTCCAATCATTGGATAATCTCATTTTGTGATTCTGGGTAAAGTTATGAATTTACATCCATGTCTCTAGTCGCTGGTTATTTTAATAAAATGTCATATCATTTAATATCCATGGAATATATTTTGTGTTTTGCTTACTATATTTCATCGTTATTTTGTATGTTATCATGTACAAATGTGAAAAACAGCTTTGGCTGATATTGTCATCCTGTATAAATATTTTTACATGAATAAATAATAAATAATTATAGTAAATCTGATTTCTCTCCTATCTTCTCCCCCTTGCAGTATATTCTTTTGCCTTGCTGGTCAACTTATTCATTCCATTGCAAAGCATGATGGGAGTGGTGAAAAGTCATCCCATCACATCGCAGAGGACGATATCATAGGGCCAAAACTGGAAAAGGAACAAGCATAAGTTCTTTTAGACCAGTGTCACATGCACAACTTGCCTTAAAGGGAGAGAGCCCGACGAGACTACGTGTCTTTCCCTGTGGCCTGACTCGGGGCCATTTGGGTATAATACCCGATTCATACGACGCGACTGCAACAATCATGCGTGTGCAACATACGCGAAACCGAAGCGTGAGGAGAACTTCAGCCTGTTTCGCGAACGCTGACCAAATAGAGATTAAGTCGATGAATATCAAGTCCATTCGTTTATGTGCAGTTGTCCAAAAGAAGACGTAGATGGCGTTAACCAATAATTGCCAAGCTACACTCCCTTTAATACTGTCAATAGCTCCTCTTGTGTTTAATATACCTTGGGTCGAGTCAATATTTGCCCTGGTAATACAGTAAGATAATTTATTTATTTATTTATTTTTAATTGATGGCTTTCTTTGATTACAAATTTTTGTTTCTATTCATAAAGTATACTTGGTTTCATAGACCAGGCTCAAACCTAGGCCTTAAACCTAGGCCTTGTTTCCTAAAACATGTTACTATTTACTGATTACCATAATTGTTATAAGCTACTGAAATAGTTGCATTTGATTGGTTGTTCATAAATAATTTGTTATAGAAATGTGACAGTTGTTGTTGATGAGATGTTTTATGAAACAGGGCCCAGGTTTGAACATGGACTATGAAATAATTAATAAAAAAAGGTTAGTCCTCTGATTGTGTAGTGCCAAATAACGACCGCTTCATTCTGTTATGATTAACAAAAATGCTGTCCAATAAAATCCAACAAATGAAAAAAATCATGTCGGTAACAAGAAAAATGCTCTCATTTCAGACCATTGTTTTATTTAATCATTTCGTTATAGAAATGAAATTCATTTGAAGGGATTAAGATGTTGATACTTTGCACCCCTTAAGTGAATTGACTTAGCAAATCCAGGTTTATCCATGTTAATGTGAGCCGATGGTGCTGGTAACAAGTTGTTGCAAAAAGGCTATGGTAACTTGAAGAATCACCCTTATTTCACATAGATATTTATTTTTAAGAGGTTGATTAAATATTTTCTTTTGTTGAAAATAAATATTTTATTTTTTATATTGATCCATGTTACCTAGCAAATGGGTGCTATTGTAAATGCTGCTTTATATTATATTTCTCTGAAGTCTTACATGACAAGATATAGTATCTTGTAAATTTTGAAGTTTTAGGATGTTTTAAAGGTAATACAAAGTTTTGGTATGGGGTCATGAATTTTGTTCAAATGAACATATTAAAAGCATACCTACAATATTCAGTGATCATTCTCGAGGTTGAAATTGAGTCTAAATTTATGAAATTGTAAATAATAAACTGTTTATGTTGTATAGCTCCCTCTCAAGGTCAAGATATTAATTAAGCTATAAAACAATGTTTCTTGACTAAAATTGACCGATTAGCTATTCCCGTTTGGAAATTATATATCTCAACTACATATTCTGAGATTTTCATAGACGCAGCTACTATTGTACGGCCGTAGGCGCTATTTGAAATTTATCAACATTTACCGGGAGCACCGGTAAATTTTTATATTCAATTTTTCTCGAAAGCAGAAGTGTTTGAGGGGCTAAATTTTCTAGTGCTTATAATACATCCACAGGGGCATCAAAATATATCAAAATTGTAAATAATCACTATCCACCCAATTTTCAAAATTTCCCAGAACTTTGTATTACCTTTAAAGTATGTTGAATTTGTATATTTTCTCTTTAAGGCTTGTCTGTTTATATCTTTATTAATAATTCAAATTAGAATGTAGATTTTCTTGCCGTATTTTGAAGGGGAGACGGGTATATACACGTAAATGTAAAAGTATTCATTTTAGATTTCGTCAAAAGACATCGTTTATTTCCTCAGGGTGAATTTCATTACCACATCTGTAGTCGATTCCACCGTATGACTTCTGTTTTAGCGCCAAACCTTCTCCAGACCGGCCAAGTCTTCATCATTTTGGGTAACGCTATTTATTGCTCGGTTTGTTTGTTGGTCCCATTGGTGTAATAACATGGATGTACAATGGTTTGTTAGTGGGCTGGTGCATGATGACTTAGTTCTATTTTTTTTTGTCCTTTTTTTCTCGAATTTGAGCTAAAGCAAATATTTCATTTTTTAGTGAAAATATTTCAGGAATATTATGTTACAGGGTATTTTATTATCATTTCAGAATTTCAGATTATTTTGTATAAACATGTATATGTATTTATTGTGAACTTGCGGCCTGCTAAACGTCATGTGGACTTTATATACTACACACAAAAGTACATGTATGGCTAGAGGCATTCAACAAAGGCCCCACATTCCACCTTACAAACAACAATAATTTAGTTGATTGCTATACATTTATTTATTTATTTAATGAGTTTCGTAGACTATTCACTGTTCATATTTTCAGAGAAGCTTATTAACATCGTAATGCTCACCTGTTGTAATTTTTTTCTTTGCTCATTTCTTCTAGCTGTTCTACATGCACTTGCAATTTGTAGAAAATACTTAGTTTTAAAGTGCCAAATGTTCCATCGTCGTAGAATTTAAAAATGATAGCGCAATATGTTTGGTGAATCAAGAGATCCACAATTTAACAACTTATCATGGCCATTATGATGATATCTCAACTATTAAAACGATGCTCATACTTTGTAAAGAGCATCTGCGGACTGCGGCACTGAAGTCCTGTTGCAAGACAATGCCACACTAGACCCGGGTGAAGTAAATGGCAAGAATTATATCCTTGAAATGCTAGAGTAATGGCAGCCATGCTAAAGCCAGGGTTATAATTATGGAGTGTCAGGAGTGTCGAGTCAACAAGAACCCATTATAGCGTTTTATCATTATTATTATTATATATGTTCATGTATATAAATATTTTTTAGTTTATAAATATTTATATTAGAATATAAGAGAAATGACAGTAATATGAATTTCAATGTTTGAAACTCTGTGCTTTCAATCAAATTGTGCCTTCATACCATTCATACATGAGTACGCAAGTTATGGTTAAGTCCAGGCTACATATACCCTGTATTTGTCCTTCATGTTACCGACTGTATCTTAATATTTAAGTATATTTGTGCCTGTATTCAATTCAGTACATGGATTATTAAGTCAGTAGGTAAATTAGCATTGGTTAAGTGAAAAGTCTCGACTCGTATTCAGATCACATCTAATCATTTACTTTAGCGAGCCGACTTTTAAGGCAAAATACTGAGCATTAATGTGACGTTGTATGGTCAATAACAAATATTACGCAATTAAAATGTCACATTGAATACATGCTAAACCAGTTGTGTGCAGCCTATAATGACTGCGTACGAAAACCACATTCCTGGCAATCAAGGCCTCAAAAATTATTGGCTTAAGTCAGCTAGGGAGCTGTCTTAAACTTGAGGGTGAAATACTTGGCCAAAAGATTCCATTGAATATCAAAATTTGCTATTCAAGTATATTACTTAAGTCGAAAAAAAAAAAACTGAGTAAAATACTCATATTTGTGAGATAGCTCTGATGGTTGCATTAGGGCAATAGTCCTTCCAGCGCTCAGATCAGACCTACCATAATACAGTGTGAATTGACATGGTTTGAAGTAAATTAAGATTTTTAACCCTTTGGTGACATATTAAGATACTAAATGACCAAATATGCTGGACTTACCCTAATACATGTACAAATCTTGTATCAATGCCATTATGTCTACTGAGTGGGCTTGGAAAAGGATATTTCATTTGATCAGTCGTGTGTCCATACTAAAACATGTAACGATGCCAAGAAAATAAAACAGAACAACTGACTTTATGTATTGATCTATTTTGTTATTGGTATTGTTTATGGGGATCAACTTTATCTGAGATGGATGTACACATTTATATTTTCTGTCCAAAGCATACATCATGACTTGTTTTTAATTTCCTTTCCACAATGGTTTGACTATGTAATTAATTTACAGTCAAACCATTAAAGTAGGAAGTCTCTTAAATAAAGCACAATGTTATTAAAGAACATTAAAGTATTCAAAAACTTTCCAAGTATTCAATAATGAATTTATTTGCTTTCAATACTACTCCCTTTAAACCCTGAGGCACATTATGAGAAAGGGAACAAAGTACCTCGATGATAAGAAAATTATGACAACATAAATCATACTAAAGTACATGAACAAGTATTTCATCTGATATCTGTTTCAGATGGTTGGCAAAAGACACATAAAGAAATAAAATTGATGGAACTAGAAAATCTGCATGAGCTTTGATTTGAAATGAAAACCATTTCCATGGACGTTCAATACAAGTTCTTCATTCCTAAGATTTATAAATCATGTGAGTGTTTTCAAATGTACATGAAAACAGTGGTATGCAAAATATATGATCAGAAAGCATGATTTTCACAAGTTTATGTACATTTTCAAGCCATCAATGCCTGGATGGGCAATTTGATAGAAGATGCATTCTTTAATTTGTGAAAAACTATTTCATAGGGCCAGCTTCAGAAGGTACATGTGGAAATTTCAGCATGTTTATGTCAATGATTTCCACAGATCTTTCAATAATTGTGTAGGATATGTGTTGGACACGTTAGTATCTTTCAAGCCTAAGTAGCAATGCATGATGTGGTCAACATGAGAAGATAATAATTGAAATAGAGTGACAGATGTCCTGTGCTGCCTATACAAACATGATCATAACATAATACAAAAATTGTAGAAATCTATTTGAGAAAGATGAATAATAATAATAGTAATAATAATAATAATAGCCTAATAGTCCACTCCAAATTTTATTAAACCGAAACGGAAATTCTTTTTGCCCAATTGATCGTGAGCCCGGCAGCCACTGAGCAGTGCCAGATCGACGTTGCTCTATCCCTTATTGTTGAACGCCAAACAAGGTAGCAACAACTCCCATCTGTATACATATTATTTGAATACCCCAGTAGCCAAAATTGAACCAAACTATTGAATTTCTAAAGCTATGAATTCAAAAAAATCTATCACTACAATGTAAGTTCCCCTCAGTGGTGTGGCCTTTAGGAGGATACAGGGGCACTTGAGGAGTGACATGTGCCCCCCCCCCCCAACAATTTTTTTTCTTCTTTTTTTTCTGGTACCTCTGGATATGAAGCAATGTAGATTGTACAAGTCATGTATATCCAAGTTCTGTATTTTTTTATCAAAAATCAGTAAAACTAATTAAAATCATTAACTACTGGAACTATTAAAAAAAACAAATTAACTATTTGGGGTAGGGTCATCCTCCTTTGGACGATTTACTGTGTCGTTGCCTCCAATGCTTGACCAGTTTCTTGATGGGTTCTACGACTGCGTTGGGATTGCGATATAACATATGATGGTCTGCTCCGTTTATGAGTAGGTGTTTGGCTGACGGGTGTATGGAGGAGACCAGCTTTTGAGTGGCTTTTGCCCAAACCTAGGAAGAGACGGATAAAAGAAATAGTTTGTTAAAAGAAAAATTGCATTGTATGACACGTGCTTCAGGGATAACTGCCCTGTGGTCAATTTTCTATACTAACCCTAATACTTAAAGCAGGACTGCAACTACTTGCGCCCTCTATATAGCAAACAATGCCTAAGCGGTGCCTGTTGGTCCCCCATGATCCCCATTTTCTTATGTTAATTGAGAGCTGATTTGATGAGATGACCACCTGTCAGTGACCATGCAGGGAGGTCTAATCCCTCCTGGCCAAACGAGTGCAGATAAGCTTTAAAAGCCAGGATAATAATATGATAGCAGGGCCCACAGGGAGGACAGTATCAGTATTAACACTGATGAGGCTACTCTGGGTAAACAAGACATATTATTATTATTATAACCCTGGAACAAACACTATATCTAATCCTAACCCAAAGCTAATCTAAAACCCAACTGCAACCCTAACCAAACTGTTTTGTTTTTATGAACTAAAGCCCAGAGTAATTGTTGCTCAGTGGCGGAAATGTCAGATCACCAAACTAAGATGACAATGCAACCCTAGCACTATGCTGGTGATAATACAATATCGGGCTTTGATTATTCACTTTTAGTACCTGCATTCAACCAACAATACTGGGGATATGCATGCAACTATATTTACACACTTTTGTTAATTAGTAATGAAGGTATAGATAAAAGTGAAGAAATTGAAGGCAAAGAATAAAAAAAGGAAGGTATAAAGAAAAAGGTTGGAAAAAGAGAAGCAAACAGCACAAGCAAATACAATCAAGAAAAAAAATGAAAGTTTAGATGGAGGGGAAAATAGAGATTCAAATGAAATGGGAAACAAAAAAAAGAGAGGAAACAATAAGAATTCAGATTCAGTTTCAGAATATTTATTGATCCTTGTGTAACAGAAACAACACAACAGAAAGAACAGGTGAATCGAGGAAGAGAAATTATGGCAAGATCAAGAAAGGATATTATTTTGAAATACCATTTCAATCTATCGGCCCATAAACTAAGGTACATGTCAACAGTTGTTAGAAAAACAAATGAAAAACGTGTGTGCATCAGCAACTTACCTTATTTAACTGACTTGGTAGTTCTTCATCGTAATAATTGCCTGTGATCACAGTCACAGATACATTCTGTGGGAAAGGCTTAACTTTGTATGCAGTTCTAAAGGTATACAGAAAGGATAAAGAAGAGCATTAAAACCTATTGGATACCTATTCTACAATATAATTATTTTACAGACCCAAGCCAGCATTATCTCAGGCCTTCTTATTCGACATATTGACATACTTGAGATGAATGTTGTATAAATCTGATAATGTCAGCTTTATGTAGGCAAGGAAAATGATGATATCAGTGTGTGAATATTGTGACAGTGCTTTATAGCAGAGTGTACATTTTTTTTCCAATCAAAATTTGCTGACCCAAATAATCACATAATTTGCATACCGTATGCTGTATCAAATAACGAAATTTGCTGAAAGGCAGACATGATATGTACCAGTATGTATGTATATATATGTCATTGGAAGCACTCACTGTTCTATACTTATCAGCAAATTTTGCCTATCCCAGAATCAAAATCAGAATCTGCCCGAACACATATGTGACGATTGTAAGGCATGCAGAATATGTGCACATATCAACAACATATTACCATTATAGAAGAAACTGGACATCAGATAGGGACTACTGTGGACGTTTCTATCACATGTGATGTGGGTTTCAATTTATGTTCGGTACTCACTTTATCTGTGATAAACTTTTGTTGGCCCAAAAATATTCCTCTACAGCTGCTCTGATGTGTCTTGGCAAGCACATTAAATATTTCTGCAACAAGAAGAAAATAGAAAACAATCATAGTAGAGGTGTTATCATTAATATTTTGTTCATATATAGCTCATTTCAGGACTGCAGGCCCTCTCAAAGCAGTTTACAGATACATATTATTACCCAGTTATCGGATTCAGGCTTATCTGCACACAATGTATGCACATTCTCCACTCCCTGGGGATCATTCCAGCCAGGCATCATTTTTACAAGCGCCCACTTGCTCATCTAACCACATTAACTTTCACATGCTACCGGGTGCCCATTTAACACCTGGGTGGAGAATGGCTATTGTAGATCAATGTCTTGCCAAAGGACATTAGTGCCGCGGCGGGACTTGAACCGCAGACCTTGTGATCCACAGTCAGGTGACATATCCACTCGACCATGACACCTGTGGATCACATGGTTTGTAGTTCGAGTTCCCGCCACTGCACTAGCATCCTTTGGTACAACATTAATCTATATCTGCCACTCTCTACCTACTCAGGTTTTGAATTGGTACTGGTTGGTAGGTTGCTCATCATTTTGAGCATCTTTAAAAATGGCACCTGGTTGGAATGCGTATTGCTCCATAGGGAAAGGAGAATGTGCATACATTATGTGCAGGCAAGCCTGAATCTGATATTACGCAATCTGATGGCATATCTAACACTAAGTGGCCTCTTAAACCCCTAGGATCGATGAAGGGTTTGGAATAGTTTACTAGATCGATGGCGCATAATAAATGCTGTATGATTATTATTATATAAAAACTTCTATTTTTTAATAGAAATAATCAAAACATGAAAAAGATGATCACTATATTTTATCATTAATGAATAGCTGGTTCCCTCTCAACATGTTAAAGGAACTTACCTGTCTAGCCTGTACTGTTTCTGATATAACCTCTCCTCTGATTGGCTGTTCTACCAGGCCAAACATCAATCCAAGCCTTGTTAGACCAATAGCAGCCGAGAGCTGAAGAGACTGTAGAGTGGGCACCAGATGACCATACCTGCATGTACATACGAACAAAATCACTAACATTGAAGTTTTGTTGATGTTGTCGTTGAGTCTCGCACACAGCACAAATTGCAGTTTTGATGGTTTGGTCGACCCAATAATTAGGATGTACAATATCAGAGTAGAACTTGAGATACACAGTAAAGGCTTGTTCATATGTGGGCCGTTAACTGCTGCTGCAAAAAAAAAAAAATATTTTTGTTTACATGTAAAAAATGAATGGCAACTGCTCGCAACAAGAGAGTTGCACATATTCATTGAGCGTTGTGTTATAAGATACAGAAATGTGTACATTACACTTTACATCATTAACAAAACACTACAGTTTTGCAGCATCATATCAAAATGAGCCTTAATTAATTAAGATATTTTCTGTTCCATCACTGGGACAATGTAAAGTGTAAGACTATTATTCCAGTTCCTCAAAAAGCTAGGCATACAGTCACATTCACAACATCTATGGAACACCCCCCCCCCCATTCATATCAAGAGAGCACATTACTCGTAGTTAAAGGTAAAGACCAGTTATGGTCATGCGATTGCATTGTGAAAGAAACGTTGTGGAATCGATCAGAAAAGGTTGATCATCTAGCATATAAGTATTGGTGTGTACTGCAAGGTTCTGGAATCATCAAAATGATAAGAAATTTGGCCCAGTCTTTGTAAAGTTACAAGCACTGTACACAGAAAGATGTATATGGGACTATACGCACACGTGCACGACACATGCGTTTATCTTTCACAGACCATGTAGATAAACTAATTTACCAAATATATCAATTAGTAGGCGGTTTCCTGGCAAAAATTGTATCATGTATTAGTCAAAACATATTCTTTCACATGATCGGTAATAAGAGCTTCCATTTCATTTTTTGAAATTGGGGCGTTTCCAATTCTGGTCTTTACCTTTAACCTAACCATTGGAAAACTGATTGAATATTATAACAAACATGCAATCAAGCTGAATATGTTCTAAGTACTAACTGCTGAAACATTTCTTAACCATACAAATTGTACCCTCCAAAATTTCTTCTTTGGAACACCCAAACTCACCAGAATTGCTCCAAGACTGCCTCGTCTATCTCAAAGATGCCCTCCACTAGAGGATCTATGAGGACAATATCACTAACTTCTCTGTTTGGGGGAAAGAAGAAATGGAAAATCAGTAATAGTACCGGTACCTGGAGATATTTGGTGCTGGTGGCCAAAGTAACATCACAAAGTTTTCTAACAATTTGGTCTCACAAAAATGCTAATACTAAATAAATTCTTCATCGCTTGGATGATCTTTCAGTTTTTACTTTAACTTTAAAACTTTTACTTCTGGGGTGAAAAAAAGAAAGAAATATCATCTATTTGATCCACGATAAAAACTATGATTGAAACTTGTTGTCATGTTTCTTTGATTTTGGGTCAAAAGCAGCACGAGACCTGCAATACTAAGCTAAACTAAAATTTTCCTCCTCAGGTGGAATATTAAATGCACGAGAGGTATAAATAATTTTGATTCCTGTCCCGGCATGTAAATTCAAAGAATGTCAATGTGCGCTACACACATAAAAAACCTCAGAGGATTATGTGTCCACCACACACATGCTATCTCCAAGTGAAGCACTGAGACTGTTGTGTGGGGAGCTGTCGTGGGGGGTGGGGGGGGGGGGGGAGGGAGGGAGGTCTGTGTAGAATGTATAGCCATTAAGTTCATCATGTTGACTTCCTTTCGGATATTTGCACTAAAATCTAAAACTACACATTAGTTTTAATTGCTCTGCCTTTAGAAATGACTATGGTCATCCTATTGATATTGAAAACAATATTACATAAAAGGTTCATTTTTTCCATCACTTTTAATTCACAGGTGAAGACCAGATAGGTCTCATAATATCTACAAGTGGATTGTCAATGTCTTATCTTAAAAGAAGAAGAATCCTTTGACTTCATCATGGACCTGTTTCACGAAACTGCCGTAAGTACAAGTTCCCATACATCCCATTGGAACGTGTGTTGATTATAATACATGTGTTTCAATGGCATGTTGGTAAATCTTCAATGAGGATGATTTTGTGAAAGGAATCCCAGCTTTCTAGAGGTGGTCTTACTTTTCAAACATCTGTGCATAGAACATGGCATTTGCAGCTCCTAATTCTGACCCCACAAGAAGAAACGGAGGCTTGGTGTCGGTATAGTTGATGTGAAGTAACGAGTGTAGATCATCCACCATCCTGTAATAAGAAAAAATATTTCTAGGGTCAGTTTTGATTAAAGATAGTTGAATATTCAATTCATGCATGAAGGCAATTTATATATATATATATATATATATATATATATATACTTTAAAAAAATTCCTGTTAGATTGTAAAGAGAAAAATAGAAAGTACATTTGTACCTTCAAACAAACATCTAAACATTGATATCCAAGATCAATTGATGTTCATTTGTGTAAATCTGACATCTCAATCTCTTGTGTTATTACAAGCATTTTTTCCTACTTTATAGTATTGTTCCCCATCCTTGCTCCCCTCTCTCTTCTCTTTACACTGTCTTTCTCAGTCTCCCCCTTTCATCTTTCGCTATATTTCATGTGGTCTGTTCACTTATCTCTCTACTATTCTTTTTCACTCTCTCTCTATCTCTCTCTCTCTTTCTTCCCTCTCTTCTGTCCCCTCCCTTCCTCCCTCCTTCCTTTTCTCTCTTTCTATTTTACCTCTCTGTTGTACTCTCTTGCCCTTTGGTAATGCTGCTTGCCATTTTGCTGGATGTAGGACCTGGAGTATCATCATCATCATCATCATCATGTTTTGGAAACTAAGGAACAACATTTCAATAAAAACAATTACATGGAGATGGACAATTGCCATTAAAGTGCTTCAAGTATAATGTACCCCATGAAAATTCCCTTCATCAAGTGGACATGTATGTAAAATATCACGGGTAAGACTGGGTTAAAATATGTTTCTGAAAATCTTTCTGTCACAACCAGTAAGTTTGATATAATAATAAAAATAATAATAACAACATTTATAATGCGCACATATTCATCCCAAGAGATGTTCAAGGCGTCTAACAAGGTAAGTACATTAAACTTAAGAGAACGAAAATACCTGTACCTTGGTGACAAATGAAAGTGGCACAAAAGTTGTGGAGGGTCTATTAACTAAAAGTCATTGAACGGTGCATAATTTCAAAGATATTTCATGGGGGGGGGGATGCGTTTGTCTTTGGTGAAATAAAAGGTTATGGTGTAAACATGTATTTTCTGAACATTTCCCAAAAGCATATACCGGTACATTGTTACTCTCATAGGTTTCAGTGTAAAATCTGTCGTCATACTTTACAAATTCATTTTGAACTTAATTGAAGATTATTTCTCCTTGGTACATCTGCTGCTATATGTATCTACAAGAAAAATTAGACTGATGGAATGGATTGATGGAAACCTACCTGGTACGGATAAGAAGAGCTGAATCCAAGACCAGTCCTGTCATACGAACACACCTGAAAAATAGGAGAAATGATAAAAATCCACATATCATCATCATCATACAGGAAATATTAAATGAACAGGCTTTTTGTCAGTATTAAAGGGAAAGTCCACCCCCAAAATAAGTTTGTTTCGATAGAGGCAGAATAATAAGAAAATCAGGTGAGTGAAAGTTTGAGCAAATTCTGAATGAAAATAAGAAAGTTATGAATTATTGAAGTTGTGATCAATCAAATACAAATTGGCAACTCTGTGACTTATCGTACGAGCTCTCCTTCATTTGCTTTGTGCATAATATTCCATAAAATCATGTTTCTTCGTTATTGATGACGGAATATATATTTGTTCCTTGCAGGGGGAGTATAGAAACATATTTGCAATTATTATATTTAGGGTGCATGTATGGTTGAAATTTTTCTTGAGGGAAAATGAAAATTTTAGATTTTTTTAGTACTGAGCAAATGGAAGTTGAGCTCGCATGATACGTCATAGAGTTGCCAATTTGTGTTTGATTGATCACAACTTAAAAAATCCTAACTTCCTTATTTTTAATCGGAATTTGCTCAAACTTTCACTGACTTGTTTCTCTCATTTTTCTACTCCTATTAAAACTAACTTAATTTCAGGGTGGACTTCCCCTTTAAACACTTGGGAGTCTTTTCACCAAACCATCATAAGCACAAATTCACAGACATCTAAGTGAAAAGCATGTTAAATTTAATACTAATGTTCTATAGGTTGTCGGCGACCATGTACTAAAAATAATTTTTGTGGACGCTGTATTGCTGCACATTCTATGGGCAGGGGACTTTCTTTAGACAGAGAAATGTTATTGGTGAATATTAAATACTCTCTGAACAGTAACCAAACCTGAAACCCGAGCTATCTGCCATCTGTATGGTTATCAAAGTTCAGTAAATTTTATTCAAAAAGAGTCAACGGAAAAAAATATTCTCGCAAGAAGGCTGCATGAGGATTGAGCTCACAAAATTGCTTAGTTTGTTATACAATCCTGCCTAAAAGTCACATGAATGTTGAAAGACATTATAAGGCATAGCATATTGAGAGAGATAGTTGTGACATAGATCATGGAGCTCCAAAGAGTTTATTCCCGCTTAGAACTATGCGAGGCACCATGAAATGAATTTCATATCACAAGCAACTTTCAGTGATGTAAGTATGTCTCTCAACCACCTAGGTAGAAATCTTTCTTCATGAGGATAAAATCAAGCTGGTGCAGTTCCTCATATACAGGGTACTTTTTTCTTTCTCCTCATGTAGATATTTGCACTATCTGACAGGATTTATTCACTTACTCTAGTAAACTTTGCAATTCTTGGCTGGACCAGGCACCAAACATCTGATGACATACCAGTTGGAGCATCTAAAATTACTATATAAAAAAAACAAACAAACAAACAAACAAAAACATCAATCAATAATTTATAAATCATCATAATATATGAACACTGCCACTGTTTGATCAGTTAAAAAGAAACAGCTTTTGTAATTTAATACAAATGTAGTAAGTACTACTTAACATGGTTATTTTGTATGTGGTGGATAATGCTTGGAAACTTCAAATGATATGTTCTAGCAGGTACCCAGTGACTAGACCTGGGTAAAGAGAGTGAAAAGAGAGAGAGAGAGAGAAAGAGAGAGAGAGAGAGAAACAGAGAGAAACAGAAGTAAAGAGAAGTACAGAGAGAGAGAGAGAGAGAGAGAGAAAGAGAGAGCAGTAGACAGACAAAGCGTCTGTTTGGTTATTTTGTATAATGCATGAAAGTCATAGTGAAGAAATCTTTGATAAAAAAGAAGCCCATTAAAATATATTACCATTTTAATTATGTTTGCTCATACCTGTGGGTTCTCCTTCCCCTGAACACCTGATAAACATCTTGTGATCTTCTAAACCTACAGATAACAGTTCACCTAGAAATACAGAGTATGTTAAGAGATCAAAGAAATTAGAAATGTTTATTACAGACATCATTGACAAGTGCATCCACACCTACATAAAATTTTGTTTCTCAAGTCACAAAATCTGCAGAATCACTATCAACAAGCCATTTCATCAATAATTGAATAATAGACAGTTTTCTCTAAAAACTGCAAAATTATGAATATTATTGTGACCTTGAATAGCTGAGAAATCTCTTAATACTTAATCCCTCCCCTCTTCCAACCTTCATTTTTTTCCATTCTCCTTGCTGACGTAGTTGCCAAAACTGAAGTCTCTCTCGCTGCTCCCTTCCTGTTCACCTTCTTCTTAATCCAACTCTGACACTTCTGTGTTCTTTTCAAAACTTTATTTCTCCTACTAGACCCCTTCCTTTTCCTCCTCCCCTACTTCTCTTCTTAACTCTTCCTCTCCCTTCACACTTGTTTTCACTTGTAATCTGGCTTATTACTCCAGCTCTCACACTTCTGTCTTCTTTCATCTCCTGAGTTCTCCTCCTCATCTAGGCCCATCCTCCATGTCTTCCCCTGCTCTTTCACTCACTTTAAAACAAATATACATTGTAGTTGGTTAAACTCTCATGCTCTGTGCCTGTTCTGCCCCGTCATACTTTACCCTTGTTTCATACTCTTATTCTTACATTTCTGTCCTCTTCTTCCTGTTTTTTAATCTCCTCCTCCTCCTGTTCCTTCTTACTTTCTTCCTCCTCTTTCCTTTTCTTTATTCCTCTTCCTCCTCCTCCTTTTCTTCCCCCTCCTATCTCCTTCTCCTCCTTCCAATCTCCCTCCTCCTCTTCCTCCCTCCTTTATCTTCCATCCTCTTCCTCCACCTCCTTCCCCTCCTCCTCCTCCTCCTCCTCCTCCTCCTCCTCCTCCTCCACCTCCTCCTCCTCCTCCTCCCCTCCTCCTCCTCCTCCTCCTCCTCCTCCTCCTCCCCCCCCTCCTCCTCCTCCTCCTCCTCCTCCTCCTCCTCCTCCTCCTCCCTCCTCATCCTCCCCTATCTCCCCTTGCCCCTCATCTTTCCTCACCTTGGGGTTTCAGATACTCTGCTTCCTTATAGAGAGACGCATGGTTAAGGATGGCGGGTAGAACCAGCAAGAATACCACCCACTTCAAAGAATGTAGACAACGGCAGAAACAGCCTCTGAGAAGCGACCTTTTTTCGCCAGATGGGTCATTCCTGGGTTTACTTACCCTAGAGGTATTTTCCTGTCAATAGAAAAACCATGACATGCGTGCATACATTTAGATTTTGCAAAATATAACAACATTAATATGCATGAAGGGAGATGACGTCATTCATTGACAGTACTTAAACAGTTTTAAAAAGGGCTAGCTGCAAGAATTCCAACACGGAGCTCAATTTAGACGAAGAAAATCCGGAAAAAGACCCTGAAACACATCAAACAGTCAATGTGGTAAGTGGAACTTAGCCGAGGCCTAATTTTCAAAAATAAATGCATTGGATCGGATATGAATCCGCTAAAATTGAGGACTTTGGGCGAAGTTTTGCGGGCATAAATGGCCACGTTTGCACATGAGACCCTATGGTCTGTCTCTAAAGAGAGGAGCCGACCCTACCAAAATAAGAGGCTAACGAACGAAAGAGACAGAAATTTTTAGTCTAGATCTAACTAACTAGCTTAGTTAGACCTCAGCTCAGGCTCATGTCATGGATTCATACTAGGTCTAGTAAACGGTAGACCTTCAGTGGTTGACACTCCAGCAAAGCATAGAGTCAATGCTAATGCGTATTGACCTCTAGCACTGCATACTTGCTGAGAGGCAGGTATAATATACAAATACACACACCACACACTATTGCATAGACTGCACACAATAGAACTGATGTGGCTGATCAACAATTTGACACTACTTGTACTAACTACACTTACAATTTGAAATTTTTAATTATTCTTTTTAACATCAGTAAGTTGAAAAAATTGTATTTTACTGCTATTTAGATGTCATCAATTGTCACTAAAGTACCAATTTTGAGTAAAATCAGTTGAGTTTTGTTCAGTGGTGTTTGAAATGTTGAGAATCAATAAAACAGCTTTTTATACACAGCCAGGATAGTAATGCAGCTATGTGTGGTGGTTGAGGCCCTGCCCCCGCACACCATGGGAACGGAGGGACCGCATGCGTATTCCCAAAATCTCTCCCTCGTAACAAAGAAAAAGATCTGCCCGTATTCACTTTACACACCGGACTTATGCTGAAAAAGGGGGGGGGGGGGGTGCTGAAAAGGCTTGTATAACAAAAGAAAAAAGATCGACTCGTATTGACTTTACACACCGGACTTCTTCTTCTTCTTCCTTTTGAGTACAGACCTCTTTACTAGGCAAATTCATGCAAAAAAATATATTCAAAAATTTTACTTGAAAACACATCACACAATTAGTCTGAACCGAGTTAGGGGCAAATTTGAAGAAATTATATTTTTAAATGTTGTAAAACCAAAGATATAAGAAGAAAACTGACCAAGTATCTGTACTAAAAATCGTACATGTAAAATTGGTCGTAGACATTCGACAGCTGAATATGACGCGCACGGTTGCATTACGTGTGTTCTCGAATCCAAAATCGTACCTCACACACACAATCTCGCCATACCGCGAATGGTCCGTCTTGGGGAGCTAGCCGGCTGAAAGTTTGCAGCGATACCAACGCAGCTTCGGAGCTCCGCAGCGCGCCATTTTAGCGGGACTCGGAAAGGTTTGCGATGGGAAGGCAGCGGCCTAGCTTTTTGCCCAAACAACGCTAGATCGGCTGCTGGCAAAATGAAAATAACTACGATCGAGAACATCGTCGGTTTCTTAACTTTTCAGTGAGATAATTCTGAATTCTAATTGAGACTATATAATAAATTAAATCGACAAAGAAACCTCGGTAGAACTCTTATAACTATACAAAAGCTTGTTTATTTCTTCATTTGACATTTTGTTTTCGACCATTTTTTCGTGCGCGAGTCAATGTAAACTATGTATTACCAAACTTTCAACACGCAAGGAACGGGGAACACTCGCGGACCTCGTAACAAATTTGTTGCAAAAAAAAAATTTCAAGGGTGATTTTGAAGCAGTGAAGAACATTGGCGCTGCAATGCGCAGAAATATACTTGAAAGAAACTTAAAAAATAATACCTGAATTTTCAGAAAATCGTATTTGTATTAGTGTACCTAGATGTGACTTGTTTATAAATCAGATTTTATGAAGATTTGTCGGGAAAAAATGTCAATTTTTTCCGTTTGGTGGTCATTTCTAGGCTAATATTTTAAAAGTTGCATCAGTAATGGGCCCGATGTTTCTCTTATCGTACTCGCATGTTATTTCTACATATATTAAACATAGGATGGTTAAGGGTAAGACCAGATAACATTATAAAAAAGATATATCCTTCCACCCTCCCATATCCAAGTTTTGGGCTGATTATTGCCGACCCACCGCAGCAAGGCCATTCAGATTTTCGTATGCGCGCAAAGCGCCCTCTAGTGCCCCATGAATGTGCCTATCTTTACAGAGTATTATCGTACTATACTGGGGGTGTGTGCAGGTGGACCACTACACTGAGGTTTCCCCCTACTCTTATACGAATAGTGCTGTGGGTTCTTAAGGTGCAAGGTAGTGACTCTTCTCTACACGGGGCCTCCATTTAACGTCCTATCCGAGGGACGGAGTGTTTTCCACTTGTGCTGAAAAGGTGTGCAGGGAACACGCATATATCAAATGCATACCCCAAGGCCAAGATAATCATTATAATCTCATCATACTCCTTATTAATTATCATCCTCACCACCACCACCATCATCCTCACTCCTCAGCCTTCATTCCAGTCAAAGTCAAAGCCATGCCCGAATAGTAAATTTACATGCACTGATTACTATGTTTACACAATTACGTTTACGGCATAAATAATTACGTGTGGGACTGTGTATTAACGTACAGACGGGTTTTGTTACGATGCGATGCTCAATATCAAACAATACCCACCGAGTCTTCACCCCAGAAGCCAACATTTTGGTTTGATTTGGACGTCTTTTGGCCATCGTCTGGTAATTTTTCCGGCCATTTTTCCTTTTCCTTTCGCTTACGTGGTACTTGATGAGGCATGATTAAATGGTTCAGCCCCTCATTTACAAATCCCATTTACTATTTACTCGCTTCCTTTTAACTGGTCTTTATTCAGACTTTTGCCATTAACTTACATCAGTGTACGTGTATCCGCATTTATTGAGCTTTCATGAAAAAATAATGCTAATGTACTTGAGTAAATATTATGATGATAAAAATTCAATTATTTAAAAAGACATTTCTTGATAATTCGGAAAAAAGGAAATTAACAAAGTGTAGAAGAAATAAATACTGAACCGATTGATATTAAGGCTAACTTAGGGGAATTTTTTTTTTGAAGGCATGCGTGGCATTTTATTTTGGTCTGAGAGGTACCCGTTGATCCCTGCTCATGGTCCCTTTTTCTTATTTTAATTGATGGCTGATTTGATGAGATAACCACCTGCCAGTGACCACGTAGGGAGGTCTAATTCCTCCTGAGTCCTGGCCAAACTATAGTACAGATAGGCTTTAAATTTGCGATACATACGCCTTAGGAATTAGGGTCCATTTCGGAACACGGGCGACCCGCCATTATTAGGATCCATTTCAGAGAATGATGAACACGGGTGGATAGCAGTTGTGTATGAGAGTGACCCCCCCCCCCCCCCTCACCGGGAGCCTTCGATCTACCGGGTCAGTCCAGAAGCTGTGACATCATCATAAAACATTTGTTTTTGGAATTTCTCACTTTTGTCTTCATTTTCCGAAAGAGCATCACAAATAATGCCCTGGTTCATAACATTATGAACCAGAGCAATAACACTGAGTTCCTATAGGAAATCTCTTTATTAGATGGTCATATCTCAGCCAATACTTAATATATTCAATTGGCTTTCGGCAATTGGACATTGTTTTTGATGTTCTCTCGGAACATCAAGAAAAAAATGAGAAATTCAACAACAACAACAACAACAAAATATTTTTTGATGACGTCACACTTCACACGCAAGACAATCCTACTGACGGAAATATAACCTTCTTATGCAAACATGGGTGGGAATCCCCAGCTACTGAATATTTCGAAATACACCCTTCAACTTTCCCTTCTACTATTTTCAGGTGATAGCTCAATATAGTGCCTAGCTAGGGCTAAAGTATAGCCACACCACATCCGCTAGTTTATTGTACACATTGAATCCGCCGACGTATAGGCTTATATTAATGTGCTCGAAGAGACTCCAGTATATCAACTGAGGCTGTTGTCGTCTATATTATACCAGGCCTATTAATTGTGGATAATTTCTGATAAGGGCTTAATAATGATTTTGTTCTCACTATGGACTATGTTATATGCATCCGTGGCGGGATCCGTGGGTAAGTACACACTAAGTGGACCATGGGGTGGGGGGGGGGGGGGGCGGGGAGGACTGAACAGAGGCATGTACCGTAGTCCCGGATAATTAGGGAAATCAACATAGAAATGGTTTTATTTTTATAACTGTTTTGAGAGTGTTGGCAGCGTGACAAAATGAACATGATCACAATATTGTATATCTTATATCATTTGTGAAATACAAATGTTGTCAATTTCGTATTCCTATGCCCCAAAGACCTGGGCCGTGGTGGTCATGGTCGTTGTTTAGCCTTCATAATTATATGCCGTTTGATATGTCTGATTATTTGTTTATTATTTGCGGGTATATGATCGAATTGTCAAATTTGTCGTGTAAATAAAGAACCAAGTATAAAGGGGGGAAAATTATTTAAAGAACAAAAATAATTACAGCTAGCACCACACTCAAAACGCATTGTCTAATCAAAGACCTATTGTGATCAACATCAATTGGCGTCTGGTTTTGATCATGAATGTTTCTTTTATGTCAATGTTAACACAACATAATTCTCTTTGTTATATTTTTGTTTTAGTCATATGAAACTGCATACGTTATGTTCATGAGGAGAGAAAGAGAAAGAGAGAGAGAGAGAGAGAGAGAGAGAGGAAGAGAGACAGAGAGACAGAGAGAGACAGAGAAATACAAAGACAAAGACAAAGAGAAATACATAGGCCTTATATGTGGAAATAAATGAATTGCGAACATTTAGTCATCATGATTATTATATTGTTTCAACGTAATTTCAGGATATTTGGTGGTGACTCATCCTTTGGTCACAGAGATGTGGTCGTATCTACAGTTCCCTGCATCTGATACAACGATCTCGAGATCGATACAGGAGAAGAGCCACGATCGACATTACGATGACGCCATGCACCGACTTGGAAAAAAGAAGGTAAATCTAGGCTGGGGTTGATCCAATAGTTTTTTTTTAGAAAAGTTGGGGACACACTTCCGAAAAATTACGCAAATTTTAGGGGCATTTTTGGTAGGCTATATTTATATGGGTTTCAAGGAGAAGGGGGGGGGGGTGGCCGGTTTAATTCCCGAATCCGATTGAAGTCCCTTTCATTTTGATAGAGGACATTATATTGTATTGAATCAACCTTTCGTTATCGAAAGTGGTCCACAACACATGTGAAGCAATGTATCCAGCTCTTTGTTACTGCAAGAAAACGCTACCGGTATATATCAAATACCTTTTGGGTCGGATCGGATTGGTTTGGATTAGAACGGAGCTATATAGCCCAAGTTATCTTGCCGGACTTAATTGATATATAGTCCGGTAGAAGTTTTTCAGACCCGGAAAAGTTGTTAAAGGTAATACAAAGTTTTGGTATGGGGTCATGAATTTGGTTCAAATGAACATATTGGAAGGATATGCTATCCTACAATATTCAGTAATCGTTATCGCGGTTGAAATCGAGTCTAAAGTTATAAAATTGTAAATGATAAACTCTTTATGTTGATAAGCTCCCTCTCAAGGTCAAGATATTAATTAAGCTATAAAACTATGTTTCTTGACCGATTAGCTATTCTCGTTTGGAAATTGTATATTACAACTACATATTCTGAGATTTTCATGGTCGCAGCTACCATTGTACGACCGTAGGCACTATTCATTATGATGGCAACCTTGGGCAATTTTCTTTATAAGCCTTATTAGCATAATCATAATTAGTCTATGTGCAATATGTAATATGTTGCTAATCTTTAATCCGGGAAGCCTACAAAACATGGATAATACCACTTTTTAAGGGTTTTTATGACGAGGAATTCATTATGATGGCAACCTTGGGCAATTTTCTTTATAAGTCTTATTAGCATAATCATAATTAGCCTATGTGCAATATGTAATATGTTGCTAATCTTTAATCTGGGGAGCCTACAAAACATGGATAATACCACTTTTTAAGGGTTTTTATGACGAGGAATTCATTATGACACCGGTTCTTTTTTTTTAAAGTAATGCAATTGTCTTAAAAAGCATAATTAGCATAATGAGCTAACTATAATATGTACAATATATGGACTTCATTCTCATTATCTAAACAGCCTGAAAATGGTGCAATGCAGCATTTAAATCACTTTTTAAAGACAACACATTAATTTATGAGAAGATATTCCTTGTAGATGTAGTAAAATTAGCCTAGTTAACATAATTAGTAAATTTGCATATTTGATTTTATTGATATAGGTTTAGTTTTATCTAGACAAAATTGGAAAAACAATTTTAATGTAATTTTATTTAATGACAACCAATATTTATCTCAGAGGTTAATCACGTTGAACGAAAAATAATTAACCTTACTAGCATTATTAAAGGGATAGTTGAGTTCTGTTTTCTGAGCGCAAAAAGGTAATTTTAGACCCCAAAATGTGTGAACTCTAGTCAATACGATCAGCTCGACTTAAAAGAAAAACACGGTGACCGTTAATTAATTATTTAATTAAAAATAACAATACATGAGCCAGCTATAATTGTGGGTAATATAAGCAACACGAAACTGCCAACAAAAAAGCCAACATCGACGTTGGCTGAAATACGACGTAAAAGGCGTTATTTCTTTTTTTTTCGACGGTTTTTTCAAATTTTTCAAAATATCTAATATTTGTGGTGGTACACAAGTATTAGAAATCGTTATTTTTCAGCCGTCTCTGAACCGATTTTGATCAAACAAAGATGATTTTGTCATTTAAACATTATGTTCTTTCAAATCTGACACTCAGTTTTTCATTATCTCACAAAAAATATTTTGTGTAGCGCCCTCTGCAACAGAACTCAACTATCCCTTTAACGTAATTAGAATATTAATCAGGCAATTGCCTCATGGCCTTGAGGATTTCTGTCTGACAAGACAGAATACATAGGTAGTCATTTTTAACTTTAATTTTTAACTTTTCCAGGTCATGAACATGATTATGGTACCGTCTACTGGACTATAATTACGCCAATTTCATAGAGATCTAGTTCTTATATGGCCAATTTAAATACATGGGCGCCTAGCCGGCACACCATGTTATACATGCACACTAAACGAAAGAAATTTCGAAAGAGCGATCGGTGAGAATTACGTTACGGTACAATATTTCATCTGTCCTTGAAATTAAATTGAAATTAATTTCTGAGTTAACGAAGGATATGGTATACAGAACAAATTTTGACTGCTTCTTTTTCGCTTCACGGTAAAAACCATGGCCCGGCCCCCCCCCCCCCCCCCCCCCCCTCGGTGATCTCGCAACTGCCCCTCGACTGTCGATTATAACTATAAGAATAATTAAGAAATATAAGCGAACTGTGGACCCGTGTTGATGGAAAGAGGGGAGAAAAGGAAAATATAGTCAGAAGAATAAAATAAGACATGTTGCATGGAGGTAATCGTGACCAGCCAAGATCAACCCGTTGGTGGCCGAATACGTGAAGAAAAAAAATTCCCGCCATTCTTCTTATCCCTCACATAGCCACCCACACACACTCACACAGAGGCATGATAATATAGAAATATAAACTTGATTATTCTATATATAACACTACAGTAAGATTTATTCAACGGCTCTCTACATTGTAACAACTATTTTACTTTACGACATAACATAATAGAAATAGGAACTTTTTGCGAACAGAAATTAATAGAACAAAACAAAAACAAAAACTAGGAGCAAAGAGGCATGTATACAACTTATGTAAAGTGGCTTAAATTGCATTGTTTCACGTTTTTTCATTAAACAAAGTAAGATGATAAAGATCATGATTCAAAGTTACATGTGAAGATTGAGCGTGCAGATGAGTGGGTTATACAATTTGTTCAGAACAATGTAAAACCTTAAAAGAAATAGAAATCTTAAGAGAAGTGCTTTTACTCTTCGGCTAATTATAGATGTTAATTACACATAGGCCTAGTATGTTGTGACAAGACCGAGCCCTATATCACTGCTTTTAAAAGTGTTTCGTCAAAAGCAATTATATATATTAATTTTGTTAACTTATTTATATAGAACGCCGGATAAAATCTTGCTTCAAGAGATTCTTGCCACCTTGTCCTTCAAAGCTCTTCGAAGGCCTAAGTGTAAGTCTCACTAAAAATTGTAATCCACATAGGAAATTATAAAAGTAGGAGACAGGCCATTATTCATTGAGGCTCTTTTTCAATTTGGAAAATCTAGCGTTTAAATAACGTAAAGCAAAGTTTGAACTAGCTATTTGATTTTCAATTTGTTTGTTTAGATAAATTCTTTTTTAAAATTCTTGGGTATGAACCACTTTAAGGTGACGTTTAAAGATATAGGCTAAACTACCATCCAACTTCTTTGAGCAGACTTGATAGTCGTTTATATATTGTGTCTTAAATATTTCCTAATAATTATACTTAAAGGTTTCAAATACATGTACATAGATTAGTTTTTATAAAAAGGAAATTACAAAGAAACGAGACGTCAGATTTAATTTTAAGCTATTAAAAAAAAACACGTATTTCCCGACATGTCCAAGGAAACGTTCAAACTATTAAGTTTAAAAAAGAAGCGCGGGGTGGTGTGGTGTGTAGCTCACGACTCGTGTCGCCGGCTGGCTCAACAAACACAATTCTCCCCTTTTTCAATTCAATTCAAAGTTTATTCAACACTCTTCATACAAAACATTTAAAACATACAAATACAGAATGGAGTTATATAAAAAATATTAAACAAAAAAAAGGAAGTGATAACAAATACAATGGCAATTTATAAGAGCATTTGGGATAGGCAGAAAGGAGGGAAGTTCCTTATATAAAAGCCTACCCCTAAAAACACACATACAGGAAAACGAGAACAAAAGAACAGAACAAAAAAACAAAGAACATATTAAAAATTACTATAATACACGATTAGAGTATAAAAAAAATGTCAAAAATTGCCCATACTATTGATACTGATTTGTATACTTGTTTAACAGAAATTGTTTATATTTAATTTTAAAAAGATTGAGAGTTTTGAATTTTTTAATTTCCTGAGGTATAATATTCCATATTAATGGTCCTTTAAAAAATAGTGAATTTTTCATACGAGTCGTTCTAATCTTGGGGAGGTGATAATTTAGGGCATTTCTAGTATTAAAATTATGCACATCACAATTCAAGTTAAAACATGTTGATAAAAAGGTAGCCAAGTTGTCATTAAAACATGAAAACATGAAAACTGCAATATAAACATTATGCATATCGATTACATTCAAAATTCCTAGTTTACAAAATAAAGGATTACAGTGAGCATAATATTGGAAATGAGTTATAATGCGTATTGCTTTCTTTTGAAGCTTAAGTAACCTTAACGTATAATTTTTATTAAAATTTGCCCATGCAACTATACAGTAATTAAAATATGGTGTTATTAAAGTATGATACAACATTTTCAAAATATTTAAGGGATTAAAATGAACTTTATATAAAATACCAAATTTTTTTTTTTTTTGTTGCTATTTTATTGCACACCACATTTATATGCTCATGCCACTTCAATTGATGATTAATTACAATACCTAAAAACTTAAGATTATCTACACGATCAAAATTATGATCATATACTCGTAAGTGAATGTTGTTAAAATCAATATTTCTATTTGTAAAAACCATAAACTTAGTTTTATCATAATTAAAAACCAATTTATTATATAAAAACCAATTAGAAAGTTTCAAAATTTCTTGCTTAAAAACAGTTTGGAAAACCTGGACATCAGAATGAGACATAAAAACGCTTGTGTAATCAGCAAATAAAATAAACTTCAGTTTATCAGAAACATTGCACATGTCATTAACATAAATAATGAATAAAAGAGGCCCAAGGATGGATTCTTGATGCACTCCACATCTAAGTTTTTTTTTTTTTATTTTATTTTTTTATATTAGACTTATCTTTATTTATTTGAACAAATTGGGTTCTATTTTCTAAATAACTTTCAAACCATTTTAAAGTTACTCCACGAATACCATAATAATATATTTTTTCAATAAAATAGTGTGGTCTAATGTACTAAATGCTTTACTTAAATCTAAAAAAAGGCCCATTAAGATATGATTATTTTCAAAAGTTTTCAAAACATTATAAATAAAATGCATAATTGCATTAGATGTAGAGTGCCCAGGTCTAAAACCATATTGACATTCAGTGATAATATTACACTTATTTAAAAACATAAAAAGTCGATTATAAACAGCTCTTTCTAATATCTTTGAGAAAACAGGGAGTATAAATATAGGTCGATAATTAGAAACATTTTCTTTAGTGCCATTTTTAAAAACAGGAATAACCTTTGCAAGTTTTAATTGCTCTGGTACTATACCTGCAGATACAGAAATATTAAATATTGCCCTTAAAGGACATGATATAATATGAACAACTTTTTTCAATAATTTAACACTTACATCATCATGACCACAACTCTTATTATTTTTTAATTTACTTACAATATTGATTATTTCTGTGGGGGTAATGGGATTAAAAAAAGCTGTACATGAATTAAAATCAATATTACTATAAATGTCATCATTACTAAAATCATTATCTATGTTGTCTAAATTATCAATTAAGCTAGGTCCTATATTAATTTTAAAAAAATTAAAAACAGAGCATATTTCTTTCTTATCACATATAGCTTGATCATTACACATAACCGAGTCGGGCATATTATGGTTACTCGTACTCTTACCGAGACTTTCATTGATTAATTTCCATGTTTTCCGTATGTTTCCTGATGCATTTCTAAATTTGGCCTTAAAATATTCTATTTTAGCTTTTTTAATTTTACCATTCACCATATTTCTATATTTGTTTATTTTTTTATATTTTTTATATTCAATTGGATCTTTCAAGTACTTCTTATATAATTCACACTTTTTTTGCACATTTTGCGTAACTCTTTAGTAAACCATCGGTTATTATATTTTTTACTTTTTACACATTTTTTCAAAGGAAAACATTTATTAAAAATACGAACATACTGTCTTAAAAACATTCATAACTATAATGTGGATCATTAGAACATAAAGTCCAATCAGAGTTATGTATTTCATGCATAAATTTTCCAATATTTTCCTCATTTAGATCACGTAAAACAAAATTATTATCTTCATTTTGTATACACTGTTTTTTATTGATTAAAAATACTGGCAAATGGTCACTTACGTCACTTAAAATTGTTCCACACCAAACTTCTTCTAAATTGTTCGTAAAAATATCATCAATTAAAGTACAAGACCTGTCAGTTATTCGGGTTGGACAATGAATCATGGGACATGTCCAAGGAAACGTTCAAACTATTAAGTTTAAAAAAGAAACGCGGGGTGGTGTGGGTGTGTAGCTCACGACTCGTGTAACCGGCTGGCCCAACTAACACAATTTTCCCCTTTAAAACACAGCAGACATAAAAACGTTTTGGGGGTTACACTTATAGATTAGATTACATTCTCCGGTAATATTCCAAATTGCATTTCACATTAAATACATCAGTATGCACTTGTTTGCCGTGAAAATGTAAGAAAGTGTATACCAATGTCTTCGGTTTTTAGGAAAATACTCCAAAATAGATAAGAAAATTGACACAAAACAGGTAAGAAATAAAAGACTTTTAAATCATATACGTTAATTGAACAAATGTGGTAGATTTAGATGATTTTGGGTGTGTTATAGTAATAACTCCACGCAGGAGTCACGGGCCCAAAATATGGTTAAAGTTAGTTGTAATAATAATAATAAAATAATAAAAACGGTGCTTATACAGCGCTTACCGCCTAAGTCTCTATGCGCTATATAACAAACAAAATACAATGATAAACTATTACATATTAAACAGAAACAAAAAGAAATGCAAATAAACCTACAAATTACAATACATATGGAATAAACATCAATGTGAACAGAGAAAGTTAATCGTCGAAAGCAATTTTGAATAAATGTGTCTTGAGACAAGTTTTGAATTGGTTTACAGTCTGACAGTTTTTGGAAATTCAAAGGTTTTGTTCCAAGGTTCAGCAGAATCTTTGCAGAAGGAGCGATGACTATAAGAAAGGGTGAAAAGGCGCCGTAACTTCTCCTCCATCGCCCCTCTCCTTAATTCTGCGCGATCACAATGCAAGTAACTAACTCATTTTTTTAATTAATTTTTTTATTGTGAATATAATGTACTTCAACTCGGTTAATTCATACTCTGACAAGTTCGAAACGATAAGCTTCAATGTGTCTTTATCTACTGCTGTTCATAAAATAACATTGTTGGGTAAAAACCGTGCAGCCCTTTTGGCTAATATATTCAGTAAAGATTAAACCTGCGTTTGTGTTACTTGTTAGTATAGAGAATAAAAGTTATTGCACCAATTCGACACTCTATTTGAAATCAACTTTAAAAACAAGGACCTTAAAGCTATTTAGATGAATTGGCGTAGATAGTGTGGGTACGTGTTGATCGGCATACATAAGTAGATGATCATGTACCCCCTTGGTCGGTGCTAGCAGTCGCGACTGAGTTGGACATGACCAGTGGACCCGAAATTCGTCCCGAGAAGATGTTTCGTATGGCGCCCCTGAAATGTGGATGCTTGGTGCCATATATCAGTGGGTTCATGCAGACATTGAACAGAAGGAAAGCCTGTGGTAAAGGCGTACCCTTAATTCCTAAGTTATGGTCAAGAATAATAATGCCGTATGGGACCATACACATGAAGAACCCAAGGACCACGTAGAAAGTATTCTTAGTGATACGGGTCTCAAGAGTGTCGCCCTTCTTGACTGGTGGCTTCGTGGCGGCAGCGATAGGATTCTGTTGCCACAGATCAAAATAAGAAAACAAAAGAAAAACATTAAACTGGATAACAAGAAAGTTATGACGACGAAGAAAATATATAGGCGTAGTATTTCACAGTTTCTTAAATTCCATTTTGGTTCAAGGTTTAATAAGGCTGGTTATAGACGTTCCTGCGTTCATGGTGGTATGGGTTTCCAGATCGTTGCCTTTCTTATTGGCGGCAGACATGAGAATCTATAAATAGTAGATATGGATGTGTAATAAACATTGCAATGAAGAACGTTTAATCTTATTACGACAACAAAACAACCAGTGGAAGGAAAATATTTGTAAGAAGTTGATGGATATTGCAAATTAATTAGTACTATATTATAGTACTAATTAATTAATGAGTTCAATTAAGCTGCCGAAACATATCTTGTCACCCATAGGAGTTTACATTTGTATTTAGTATTTTCACATATATCTGGCCAGAAACAAACATCATAATGCTTAATTGTATGAAGTATGAAAATGTGTTAAATCTTATAAATGTATGTGAAAATGGAGCTCGAAGATAGGCAAAACAGGCTTTCTTATATCTTTAGTTTACCATATATTGCTTGTGACAGCGCTTTGAATGTCAAATTACCCTACATTCTTTCTACGGGTAAAATATGGGTCTTAGAAATGTTAGCAATTTTGATATTCCCATTTTAATAAGTCAAAGTAGCTTCTGATAGTATATTAAAAAAATTACTTCCATCATCCTTTTTTCATAAAAGCTTTTCTAAGGTTATTGTAGTCATTTTCATGAAAATATAGACAATTTATAATGATGGTCACAATATATTTTATTTTCAGTGCATCCTTTGTAAAATGCTTTTAAATCGACAGTATTGAGATCATTCGCATTTTGTTATGATTATGAAAACTTTCTTGCTTATTTGAAAATCCGTCAATTTACATTTGTTATGGCTGTCTTGCGATGTCACCTAAAACGATCCTTCTGCATGCTTTCATAATTTGCTATCGTAGTCTTGTCACGGAGCGGCTGTAAACAACAATTACAATGAAAGGGTGAAAGGGAACAATTTTTCTAGAACTCTAATTCATGGAAAAGTTTTGGCAGCCTTTTCAAAAAGAGAAATTAGATAGCTTATTACTAAAGAGACTAAAAATATTGAAAATGTACCTTAAGGAAATTTGAAAAGGGGTGGGAAATACCCTCTCGTGTTTTCAAATTAATCAATTAAAAATAGATCCCCTCTTTTTGTTTTATTCCATCGCTTAAAGAAAACCGCACCCCAAGAAATAACTTGACTTATTTTGAGATATGTATTATTCATTTATTGATTTTATTCACCTACTATTATCCTTTGTACTACAATAGTCAGAACTATTGTAATACGTTGGTGCTCTCCGAGGGTGACGGTTTCTCATAAATGAAAAAGATTTGTCAACTGCTATATTTTACTATGTTTAAATGAATAAATTACAATAGTTCCTCTGTAATACATTTTTCACTAAACATAATTTCTATCTTCACAGCTATGATTTTTCCTTGTTAAAAGTACAGGTTTTGTTATTGATTTAAAAAATCTCTCCAACTAAAGCTTGGTGCATGATACATGTACAATTTCACCTGGTACGTCACATTTTCATGAAAATGGCTGCGCCATTGATGTATCTCTTGTACATTTTCATAAGGGATATTGAACATCAAAGGGCAGGAATACTTCTCTTTTCTAAGAATACCTACACTTATTCTTTGGGGCGAGTTTTCCTTTAAAGAGAAATATTAAAAAAGTGAATTTTCTCGGAAGCATGGAAGCATTGAACAAAGATTAGCTATATTGCGTTACGTAATCGTAGGTTCAAAGGAGCGTAGTCCATTACAGACAATAATACAGTGTAATAGGGGCTTTTAGATTAATGAGTGGACGAGAACGGCGTGAACGTACACTGATCATGCGTGTCCATGGCAAGCCGTTTTAAGATGTACTCCTATTTCTTGATATCAAGAAATGATTTTCTGTTGTAAAGTAATGGTAGTTCTTGATATCAAGAAAAAGGAATTGAATGAAGACTGCACAGGGCGGGTGATGAATTGGAAATGTTCATGATGTACTATTGATGTCCCACATCTGCTTTGAATATTGTATGTTCTCATCATTATATTCCCATCACAAATTTTCCACAACTATGTCGTTAGATGCCCAGATTCCAGTATGAACTCATTTTCATACATAACAAGCTACGAAAGCTTTCCATCGATCTGTCTTCTCTTTCTTCTCATTTCTCTGCCCCCATCTCATCCTACTCCCTTCTCTTTCTTATCTCTTGTTGTTGCTTCCACCCCACCACCTTGTTTCCGATTTCTATCTCTTACCTCATGAATAATGATATTTATGATGATTATAATAGTAATACTACTACTAATATAGTAATAGCTTTATGTATATTGCACACTTATCCACTCCAGGAAATATTCAGAGCCTTGGGAACTAGTAATATTACCCTGGTTTCTGCCCAGCTAAACCCTAAGGCACTCGAAGCATTTAAGAAATAAATTCCGGCCAGGTACCCATTTCTTTGACCTAGGTGGAGAGTGGCAAATGCGGATTTATAACCTGCCAAAGAATATTAGTAAAGCTTTCTTTAAATTACTTTAAGTATCATTTTTATCGAAAATTAATTCTTATTCGACTTCAATCATGGCCTTCCAATCTTCCACTTTTGAGAACAAACCAGACATTTTTTTTTAGAAATGTCTTCTTGGACAAAAGAAAGAAGAACTAAGTGCAGTTGCCGAAAGAACATGAACAATATTATTACCTGCGCACTGCGCTCCGTTGGTTGGTTAGACTGGACTTGGGCGCCATCTGTGTTACTCCCACTACCACCTTTAGCGTCATTAGCCCCTTCCTTGTCGGTCGAGCCTGCGTCTTCTACGGTCGCGCTTACAGTAGCAACCGCGGTGTTCCTATGCTGCTGCCCGGTGGACCACGCGTTCTGCTTCCTCACGTGCAGTCGGATGTAGATGTAGATGCGTAGATACACGCATAATACCATGCACAACGGTATGCAAGTCAGCCAGCTGCCAGCGAGGTAGGCATGTATGCTGTACTCCGTTCCGTCCGGCCTGATTTCCTCCAGATCACTGCACATATGGGGCCCGTCGTCATAGCCGAGTCTCGTGGCACCGATGGCGTAAGGGACAATGATGACAGAGAAAGGGATTAGCCAGGTGATGAAGAGAATAATGGCAGTGTTAACGCGGCTGTATATCTGTAAGGGCAATATAGAAAAGACAGAATTCTTAAGATCTGAGAGGGGAATATATTTGTATTGGAAGTCATAAAACGGCTAGTCACTTTGAAGAAAAAAAAACTGCTTCCTTCAACTAATTCTAAGATCAGTTTTCATATGATTCAAAACATTAATATATTATGTTAAATATTCGACTTACAATTCATTTCAAGATTATACTAAAATTAGGCTGAATTATACTAAACATGATACATGATTACCGGAAACTTTAACAACAACAAATATTAGAAATGGAACAAGAATTTGCAAGAAAGGGGAACAGGAGAGATAGGGGATGGGTTCGTCATACCTTTCGATACGTTGCACTAGAAGTGGTGATAAGAAACATGCGGTTGGTACCGATAGTAACAAGATGCCACACACTGCTACCGCTGCAGGTGAACCGCAGTACAGCCACCAAGATACAGGTCTCATCCGGTAGCGGCCAACCCCGGGTTGATACCAACCCAACGATGATCCAGGGTATGGTTAAACTCACAAGGAGATCGCTGATAGCGAGGCTGGTGATGAATACGTTGGTGATCGTACGCAGCTTCGGATACAGGATGACGCAGGAGATCACTAGTGTGTTACCGAAGAAAGCGACGACGGCAATGGACCCAAGCCAAGCTGCCAGCCATCTTCGGGGTCCTATGCTGCGGTAGTCACCCTCCGGTTCGTCATTAGGTGGTAGGATGGAGAAGTTTGATTCATTCATGTTTAATTGTCGAAAATGTTGCGCTCTGCAAAGAAAGAATCGTGGAATAAACGCACGTTGTTATTCCCAAGCGAGTAGTGATCCAGGAGAGAAGGGGATTGGGCGGCTACCCCCCCCCCCCCCAAAAAAAAAAAAAAAAAAAAAAATAAATAAATAAATAAATAAATAAAAAAAAAAATAAATAAAAAAATAAAAATAAATAAATCAAGGCCCTTACAAAATTCTTCATCATAATTTAATTTAAGAGAAGCATAATAATGTAGAAAATGAATGCATAACCCGCAAAGCCCACCTCTCACATTTTCGAAAACGCTCTTGCATTTATCTAGTGGTATACTGTACCGTACTGAAGGAGTATGACCCCGAGTATGACTAGGATGAAATGTATTCGTCTACAGAAGCTACTCAGAACTGACCGAGGAGGGGAAATTAAAGTGTTTTATCGCATTACGTAGTGCGTGGCGAGGAGAGAGAAGAAACGATTCGTGTATATAGCCTTCAAAATATTTTTCCAATTGATTTACTCTCATTGAAATAATCAATCGTGTATCTAACCGCAGTGTGTTTGCATTGTGAATTTTATATCAAGTGCAGAATTACGCCAACGTGAATGTTAGTGTATTCACGTCTGATTTCAGGCCAACTATGCAACCAGAAAGAGGTAATCTTGGTTTCCCACTTTGGTTTGGACATAATTTTTTTTAATTTCATCATTTTTATTTATTGCTCTTGTGGAATTACATCCCGTTCTCACTCACTTCCTGGACCGAACTTTGCTAGATCGGTCTAATTGTGAGCAGAAGCGTCGCTAGACCCTTCTCAGTGGGGAGGGGGTGGGGGGGGGGGGTGTAGAGGCCCCCAATTACCGACAATAGTAGCCAACAATTACCGACAAATACATTAATGCTCATGTGCCAATTTCTACAAATTTAAACCTATAAACTCGGGGCCGGGGGGCATGGGGCTAATTTTCTTTTGTTTGCCTTAGTATGTATACATAATTGTATGTTTATTTGCTTTAATTTGCCGTGTATTTTAATGAAAATGAAATGAAAAAACGAACTGAACTGAACTGAATAACAGGATAGGTTACTTTAGAAGGAAGTACAGCATGACAACATAAGGAAAGGTTATAAAATGAAGTAAAAAAAACAAACAAAGGATACCATAAGAAAAGGTATAGAAGAGAAAAACAAAGAATGTCGTAAGGAGAGGTCTTAGAAGAAAGAAACAAAGTATAACATAACTAAATGTTATAGAAGGAGGAAATATAGAATAACACAAGGAAAGGTTATAGAAGGAAGAAACAAAGAATAACATTAGGAAGGTTATAGAATGATAAAAACAAAGAATAACATTAGAAAAGGCTATAGAAGAAAAGAAACAAAGGATAGCGTAAATAAAGATAGAAAGGAAAAATAATAGAATATTAGAAACAACGAATAACATAAGAAGAGGTGATAACAGGAAAAACAAAGAATAACATAAGGAATGGTGATAGAAGGAACAAATGAAGAATAACTTGAGGAAAGATAGAAAGAAGGAATGATTGAATGGTAACAACAAACTAACATGAGAGATGATAGAAGAAAAAACAAAGAATAACATGACGAAAGACAGAAAGAGAAAATGATAAAGAATAGAGAATTCAAAGGTAGAAGAGAAGATGAAAGATCGAAAAGCAACGACTATCATAATAAAAAACAGAAAAAGAAAATGATAGAAGAAAAATCCAACTTTGCTTTCGTTCATTTGTAATACTGTATAACCTTTTTTTTCTTTTTCTTGTCGATGATCCAATAAATACGTCTAACTCTCCGATTTTTCTATTTCTCTCTCTCTCTCTCTATAGATATAGCCATTCTATAGACATTATGTAAGGAGAGAGAGAGAAAAAACTGTTGGGAGGGGGGGGGGGTCGATTATCTAATAATTACATCTCTTTCTCTCTCTCTCTCTCTCTCCCTCTCCTAACATATCTCAATATTATGGATGTCTTATACAGAGCAAGGAAGAGAGATAAAGAGAGAGAAAGAGAGAGAGAGAGTCTGAAGACGACACTAAAAGAGATCTTGTAGTCATAATGAAAAACATGTGTAGGAAAGTACAATCACTGATTTGAATATTTCATCATGACTGAGTAGTGCAAGTCGTGGAGAAAACAGTGCGTGTCACTAAATGGATGCGTCTCGATAAAGGCCTCACGCATGAATAACGCTAGAGTAAAGAATATTGTTTTCTGCTGCGGTGTCACTGTACTCCAGTCACACTACAGAGATCGACTCTAGACCGACAACAGTCACAGTAACGAGCTCGACCAACAGCAGATCGACAACAGTTTACATTACCCCAAACGGCAGAAAAATCGGTTAGTGTGAATGTGGCTTCAAGTAACCGCCCTCTCATCGAGAAAAGCATACCGGAAAAAAAAAAAAGAAATCAGTATCAATGTCATCCTGTCAGAATGACCACATGTGACGCAAACGATCTGAAGGTAGCAATCGCTAGAAAAAATGACCCAGGTTCTTATTTGTGGGGGGGGGGGGGGAGTGGAGTAAAGCGTATGGCGCAGCGGACGTTCCATTATTCTATTCTTTTTACAAAAACAGCAACAAGAACATAATATTTACATAGTAATGAGGTGTGCTGATCAGTGGTAGACCAGTCGTCTCGTAACCATCGGGTCCCCGGTTCAAAACCAAGTCGATTCGCTATGCTGTTTGATAAGGCATTAATCCTCATTACCAAGTCCATTGGAGAAGACTTAAAGTAGCAATAAGCATAAAAATGCTTTCTTAGCAGTCAGGTAAAACTAACGAACAGACAGACCGAAACAGACAAACAAGCCTACGACCATTCCAAACTGAATATGCCGGTTCTCGTCCGATTTTATGATGTGTTATGTATCTGATCTTGCGCTCGATTGAAGAAGCGATTTTTTTCGGTATGGAAATCGTTAAAATATTTAGAAATTCAGTCCCTCGAAACTTCATCCCGAATGACAATGCCAAATCCTATTATTCATGATCTGTACCTGCTTATATCTTGTAATTTGTCATTATGTGACAGGATATTCATTGGGATAAGGTAGGAAGGATCATTTCAAATGAAGAAAACAAAATGAGGAATATACAGTCAATGATAATCTTCATAAATAGATGTCTTCTACAGTTTTACTCGGTGAAGAAAAAATGAATTCAAAGGAATAGAATCCATGAAGGTGTAAATTCTTGAATACCAAAAGAACTGTCATGTGCAAGCCATACCGATTATGAAATGTAATGTATTAAGAGGTTTCGGGTACATTAACCAATGTTTAGTCCTAAGATGTTAATCAATTTCCGTATAATGTCATTATTCTTCCCCTATAGACAGGAATGATGTACGGTATGTTGTACTTTTCTTCAAATTTACCCCCCCCCCCTCTCTCTTTTATTGAACTCACAAGGGAATCAAAATCTTGGTTTCTCCCATTCCCTCACAGTTGCGCTGTATTCCACTTTCCCTATCTCCTGTATCATCACTTTTTCATAATATCATATTTTCATATTTTCCTTTTCATTCGTTTTGATTCATTTGACATGCATTTAAATAGGTCCATTTACAACAATTTCATAATTGTCTAGGCAACTGCAAAATTGTCTGTTATCATTTGGATGCGGTAGGAAGGATCTTTTTCAGTGAAGAATTTACAGTCTATGATAATATTCATAGATAGATGTATTCTACAGTTTTACTCGGTAAAAAAAAGAATATATTCAAAGGAGTAGAATCCATGAAGGTGTAAATTCTTGAATACCAAAAAAACTGCCATGTGCTAGCCATACCGATTATGAAATGCAATGTATTAAGAGGTTTCGGGTACATTAACCAATGTTTAGTCCTAAGATGTTAATCTATTTCCGTATAATGACATTATTCTTCCCCTATAAACAGAAATGACATATTGTATGTTGTACTTTTCTTTAAAAATAAACCCCCTTCTCTCTCACTCTCTTCTATTGAACTCACAAGGGAGTCCACACTTTAGTTTCTCATATTCCAAAACATTTGCGCTGTATTCCACTTCCCCTTTCTCCTGTATCATAACTTTTCAGAATATCATATTTTCCTCTTCATACGCCTTTATTCCTTTTACATGCACCTAGATAGGTCCATTTACAACAATTTCATAATTGTCTATAGGCGACTGCAAAATTGTTCCAAAGGGACTCTCCCAATTCACGTTATATCACAAGAAAATGCGCTGCATCTCCCTTGAAAGGAGAAATAATTAATTCTTAGAATTGTCGTGCATTCCCCCCATAAAATTTCACACTCCATTTTCTGTAGCTTCATCTCTCCTGCACTCAAGATCTATCTACATTTATACACAAGAGACCTACATTATTTTGATAAGAAAATGCTTTTATTTCTCTTTTGTATCATTTACTTTCCTACTCAAGGTGACGTCTTGAGTATAGCGTTTGCTTTTGAGGGTGATTCAATTGTAGTATGGAACGTAGAAAAAATAAATTAATAAAAATCTTCGATGCACGAAAGTTTTTCTTTTCTTTCTTTCTTGATAGGCTACGTAAAGAATGTTAACGATAGAAACAAAACAGATGCAAAGAAACATGTCGAGAGAAACAGACACCTGATTGCTATGTGAAGGTTTCTCTCGTTTTCTTTCGTCTTTTTTTAATATTTAAGAGAAGCGCCACATTTCGAATATGTAATGTAACTTTTAAAAGTTAGGGTAAAAATTTATTTTAAGATGAAAAGTTTGATAACACATTTTGAAAAAAATGTGTAGAAAAGATGAAAAGACGTTGTTATTCATTTTTTCCCCTTTTTTCTTTCATTTACTTTTCTTTGCTATGAATGAACACTAACAATTAATTTATACAGTAGGTTTGCGGCTACACCATGTGTGAGAGAGAGAGAGAGGTTTGAGGCGTCCTGAAAAGGACTCTGACTCGGTAATCTTTCTTGGAGGAGTGTAGTCCTGAAAAGGACTGTTTGTTATCTTTCTTAGCATATAGTTCTCAGGAGAACTATAGTGCTTGGAGAGGATGAGTGGCTCGACGTTTCGAACAGGTTGACTATCCGTCGTCAGGAGTGACGACTGAAAGTTCACCTGACGACGGATAGTCAACCTGTTCGAAACGTCGAGCCACTCATCCTCTCCAAGCACTATAGTTCTCCTGAGAACTATATGCTAAGAAAGATAACAAACAGTCCTTTTCAGGACTACACTCCTCCAAGAAAGATTACCGAGTCAGAGTCCTTTTCAGGACTCCTCAAACCTCTCTCTCTCTCACACACATGGTGTAACCGCAAACCTACTGTTATCTACATCACCATGCAAGCCGACACTTACAAGCAGCATCTAACAATTAATTTGTCTTCAGTTTGTTTACACTTTCGCTCATAAAGTTGGAATATTTTTGTTTTACCCCAATTTATGGAATTATTTTAAAAATAATTAAAAAATAATAGATCTAGATAATAGTATACATTCTCAGATTTTATTGAATAATAATTTTACAATGTGTGTTTTGCGTGACTGCTAAAGCATGTGTATGCTACTATGCTTATCAACTAGGGGACCTGCGCCCTTAAGTCATGAATGACAGTAATGAGGATTAATGCCCCACAAAAGGGCACTAATATAGCACATCGATACGGTTTTGATCCTGGGGCCTCACAGTTACGAGGCCATTGTTTTGTCACTGAAGCGTGACTGTACGCAGCGGGGGCTAGTGACAAAGCAATGACCTCGTAACTGTGAGGCCCCATGATCAAATGGGGGGACCTTCACGGTTTCGGTGATTTAGTTTGCCTACCCCATTCCAGGCAACTTGTAAATGCTCATGGGAATCACGATGATTTTCATCCTTTGTTTTGTATGATTTGTTCCTCTATGTAATCCTCTGTATACACTTTTGTTTTGCCGAATAAGTAATAATAATAATAATAATAATAATAATAATAATAATAATAATAATAATAATAATAATAATAATAATAATAATCCAAACCGTGTCGATGTGCTATATTGGTGCCTTTTTGTGGGGCATTAATCCTCATTACTGTCATTTATGACTTAATGGCGTAGGTCCCCTAGTTGATAAGCATAGTAGCATACACATGCTTTAGCAGTCACGTAAAACACACATTGTAAAATTATTATTCAAAAAAATCTGAGAATGTATACTATTATCTAGATCTAGTATTTTTAAATTATTTTTTAAATAATTCCATAAATTGGGGTAAAACAAAATATTCCAACATTATGAGCGAAAGTGTAGTACGAGGCCCTTAACAAAGATTTGCATATTAAATGGTCTATTTCCCAAATGATAATGATATTTGATACTTTTACTTACCACCTTCTTCAATTTCCTTATCTTGTTTTCGAAAATATCACTTAGAGCGGGAAACGTAGAATTCTGACATCAAGAGCAGTGAAAACACCAATAAGTTTTGTTAAATATTTCCTTTAGTTTTATGAAACGAAGCGACGAACCAATTCTGTTATCCAACTGTTTGTGGCAAAAACGCAACTAACGGAATGCAATTTCTCCCCTATGTTCATATATTCATGTTAAAGAACTTTAAAGCATAATTTGAAGGCTCGAATATCACCCCAAAACGCATGCGCACTGTGCCTATCTATTCCTTTATCCTTTATATTCATGTAGTTAATTTTTTTGTGTATCAGTCGCTTCCATTATAAATACATGCTGCCGTCACTGGAGTGACACATGCGCAGTATTACCAGGATTTATTCAACGAAATAGTATCAATAGAAGTTTACTCCGGAGGATTTGCATTAATTTATCATTATTATCCGATGAGAGGAATATATAAAAGCAGAGCAAGTCCAAAACAAAAGTTAACCTCACTGCACTTCAAACTGACCCCCAACCCTTCATAGAAAACAAATATTACCAATTTATAATTATAACCCTTCCCCCTCCCCTTTATATTTTTATTTTGGTGGATGAGAAAAATATTAAAATTTCCTGTTCTGAATCAAGAAGAAAGACAATTGTCACCAATACAATTTTTTCTTTCCCTCAATTTAATAAACCAAAATAAGTAGAACCATATGGCGTAAATAGGCATAATGTGATTGAGATTGGAATGTGACGCTCCTTACCCGAATGACAAATTTCTACTTTATAAAGTGAGCGAGAAAAACATGGGGCACTTTATTACAATGGTGTCAACCGGTCTATTTTGTTAAAGATAAAGTATAGCTTTTAGGTGTGATATCGTCATCGAAATGTAAGAAACAAGCCCAATATTAAGTGACGGATGCCCGTACATGGGTAGATTTCGAACTTTTTTGCCTTTGCTCAAACTCTTTTCCTCCCCAATTTTGCCATGCATGGATATATACACACAACCACACACGTCCGCACACACCCGCACACACACTAACCCGAACTTTAAAACACACATAACATCCCTTTCATCATCGCCTCATTCACACACACCCGCACACACGCACGCACACACGCACACGCACACACACGCGCGCACACACACACACACACACACACTTTCCCTCTTCAACATTTTGTTGCTGTTGGTGTATATTTGATTTTTCGTACTCACTTGAATTCATTTACCATCTTATTTCGCTTTTGTTGTTGTTATCTTAGCACATCGTGGCAGGGAAGAAGACAGAAAACTACCTTGACCATAAGCAGTTAACAGACGAAGTATTGTACTTCTCAGGCCTTATCCAGGTCAGGAAATACACCGAGCGGCACGGAAGTCAACGAAAAGATCTCATCCAACACGAAAAATGTTTTCTCTTCGGTTTCTGGTGCAACCAGCAGACCGATGGACTCCGAGCCGACTTCGTCTGCAGGACCGACACTACAGTGACTTGCTTTCTGTTTTTCTTCTGCCAGCGACGCATTGACGATGAACGATGTGAGTCGCGTATCGAGCAAATCAATGACGGATCATTTGATAGATTTCATCAAATTGATTATTCGGATCAAGACCGACCACGCTTATTTTAAAGGGAAAGTACTTAGAACAATGGTTGTTAATATCCTGCTATTTCTCTAAGTAGTAGTGCTCGTATAAGTGGTATTAGTGTTATTAATTGTAGTAGTAGAAGTAGCATGAGCAGCAGAAGTAGTAGTAATATTATAGTAGGAATAGAATAAGTAGTACTGATGTAAGTGGTAAAAGGAGTAATACTTGTATTATTTGCAGGAGAATTGTAATAGTAATAGCGATAGAAATGGTAGTAACAGAAGTAGTAAAAGTAGCATTAGTAGTAGTAGTAGTCATAAGCACCAGCATTAGTAGTAGTAGTAGTAGTAGTAGTAGTAGCAGTAGTAGTAGCAGTAGTAGTTGTAGTAGCAGCAACAGCAGCAGTAATAATGTTAAAAAAGCCTTATACTAGAAGTAGTTTTGTAAAGAGCAACCTTAGAAAATGAAATATGAATAACAATAAAAAGGACATGAAAATTATAATATATCGAATATAGGAATTGAATAATACGTTTAAAAGAACTTTCCTAGTGCCTTTTGATGCCACTTTGTGATTGCTTTTCACGGTTGTTAAATAAATTTTGTATCCTTTGAGTTAATTCTGTTCTTCTAATCTGCCTGATTGTATTAAACTTAATTCGATGCAAGGATAGATGCACCACCCCTTAAATAATGAATTAACAAAAATAAATTGCAATTCGATTCAAGAAAAATGTGCCCCCGTGCCACTGGCTACACCATTTTGGTGTACACACACAAAAGAAAAAAGAAGACAAATCAAGATTCGATTCGAGCATGAAAATGTATTTGACAGCAGATAATAAAAAATAAGAGACATGTTGAATATTGCATATAAACAGGCATTCATGACATTCTAGACTCATCTTTGCATATCTGTGCATATACACTCATCTTGTATTCATTTACTATTCAAATTGTATTGCAAAACCCGCCAGAAAATCTATACAAACTGATGTACTTACTTTACTTACTTACTGCCCATTATGCCTCCTGGCACATAGGGCAGCAACAAAAGTCTTCCACTCTTTCCGATCCTGGGCCAGTCTTTGGATTGTATCCCATGTGTGGTTCAAACTGATGTATATAGTTATATCTTCAAAGATACACTATGTATGATGAATCCAATGTCCATCGCTGCCATTACACAATAACTATCATTATTTTCATTAGATTTTGTTACAAAAAATAATATATATATATTATATACTTGTGTAGCCACATTTGCATAGCTACGTTGGACCTTGCATGAAACATATATTTGTTTCTAATTGCATGTAAACGTGACAACAATATATGCATTTCTTCCATCTCATTATATTCATATTTCATATCGTCGTGTTTTAAAGGGTTAATGGTGTATTTTTTATTTGAATCCAACGGTGATATTTTATTAACGTTTTACCCTGTTTACACCAAAGTAATTATATTCTCAATTGTACGAATAAGAATATAACTTAGATCTTGTTAAAAATAAACACATTTTACGAAATCAATATCCATTTCTATATGTTGTCTTATTTTCATTGGTATATACACAAACCATGAACAAAATGTATCGTACGTTAGCATTAAAATAAAAGACATATTTTGCATATGTGAGGTGCAATTATGCTCTTGAAAAATAGGTATTCTGCGAATAACTGTCCTACTTCGATATGTTATAATGACGATCTATTACTAAAGTGACAAGTTTATGGAAACCCTTACTAAGCATTAAATTATTTATCGAAACATTCATGGATGTTTCTTTTTACTTACATTCTCAGAGAATACCTTTAGAAAATCAAGTAATTTGACCATCGTGTCAAAATGTTATCTAAAATGCGTAATACATGTACATTTGTTGAACTACACATTTTCTCATTGATTAGGTGAGCGTCATACAAGTCACAGCCTCAAAGGCTCACTCCGTTCGCATATGACGCAGTATATCGCGGCGGTAAAATCGAGTCATGTGTGAACAAGCCTCAAGAAGAGATAGTATAAATCAACCATGACTCCCGCATGGCATATATATATATCACCGGGATATGTCTTTCTCTACAATGTTGGCTTAATAATATACTTACAAAACGAGCATCGAGCGACATTACCATCAATATTTTCACATATAGACAAAACGTACCTTCATAATTATAAACAACGAACATTGTGAAAAGAGTTTTCAAAAATACAGCCTGCGACAGCAAGTATGAGAAATCATACTGAAGATAATACAAAGTATGAGATATTGCACATAAGTTGAATAGAACAAATTCATTGCACATTGCTTAATAAACAATGAATAATTATTCATATGAAAAGTTTTACATAAATGAAAGTTATGCGATCATAATTAAAACATGGGCAACATATTAAGAAATTATTTCCTTCGAGGAAAATGAAACAAAACTCTAATGCACAACCCTACATATTAATCAACAGAAAGCAACAGCTTTCACGCAGATTACGAACATTGATAATTCGACAAGAAAGAACGCAGATATAGGTTCATTTCATTTGTCACAAGGCTCATCAAAGAACAATGTCAAACAATATCCCCTTCACAATTCAGCCTATCAGGGTATGTCATAGTTATAGGTCTTGCGAAAAAAATTTCATACACTTTCATGACAAATGCATTAAAATTCATAGAGAAAACGTAGAAATGTGTCACCAGAACAACAACAATGTTTACTAATGTATTCAAATTAAATAATACGTTTCCCAAGGATACTAAATGTCGAATTAGTAAATTCAACTGTTCTTTCTGATCTGTATTTGTATTGAAAGAATCTATCCTGCATCATTAGTTGTTTCCATAGCGTATTGGAGAGATAGTTGTGACATGCACATGCGTACGCACTCAAGGTTAACAAATGGAGCGCTGATATAGTTCTCTCCCATAGAGGTTGTATGTGGGAGGAAACTCTAGTTGGAGCTCCATTGACTTAACTTTGGGTGCATACGACCGCTCGTTTTACGACTATCAATCTCAATACGCTATGGTTGTTGCTGTGTTGGGAAAGCATGGTAATCATTCGAGTCCTCAAGAGTAACCTTTGCACAGAGAGAGAGAGTGTGTACATAACATTTAAATATGTTAGTAAATGATCTATTGCCTGTGTTTGGGTGTCCATTCACACGAAACCAACGAAATTATAAAGCAGTCCATTAAGTTATGTTCCAACAACTCAAGAACAGCAGTCAAAGGATAGGCCTAATCTTTCGATTTAAAAAATCCATCAGTGTCCGCCCTCTGTTGAGAGCTTTTCATCTCCATGAAGGACCTACCAGAGCCATCTATACATAGAGTTTGGCCAACTTGGTTTCAGTACGTTACAACGTGGCGTATATTTTTTTGTTCTGTGCTTGCCGAACAAAGCAGTATTCGCAATATCGTGCCCGTGTCGAACCGGGTTGGCCAAACTCTCCTAATCAATGGCACTGGAATCAACCATATACCATGATCGGCGAATGATCAGCCCATCAAGGATTAATGTCCATTGTTGGAATCTACCCCCTTGGTGCTCCAGATCTCGAAGAAGCAGGCGGTGGAGTGGAATCGGAAGAGGATCTTGAGTGGGGCGGCGATGTGGACGATGACATACCAGGCGGTGGCGCCGTAGTAGTTGTTCTCGAGGGCGAAGAGGTCGTAGCCACCTTTGAGCTCGTACGTGTTGACCAACCACCAGGTGATGTTGCAGACGAGAAGGAACATGATAATCTGCTTGGTGCGGGTCTGCTTGAAGTCTTCAGGCGGCTTGCGATGCATGGCGTCCAAAATTAGAAGCACCTGGATAAGGTAAAATGAAGTGATAAGGAATTGGGGAAGAGAAACGCATATTCAGCTTATTATCTCAATCTGTTATATATTTTGGAGTTATACACAGCCTTTCCATAATAGACTGGGACGGTAACTGGTTTCAAAACACAAATTTCAGCCTAAAAGGTCAATAACTTTCAACTATTTCTTGTCTTAGCTCTCATACAAGAGGTCTTAATCTGATCATTGCTCGGTGCTCACATCTTTGCTAGAGAATTAGTAATTACAGAGCCGACAGGAGAGCGTATTAGTACTGATAAGGCTACCCTATATGTAATAAGACCGTACTCTCTTAATACAGAGTGGACATCTAATTAGGAGTTTAGAGTGATCACCAATGTACGGTTTAAATTCATTTCAAGGTATTTATTGAAATACGCTTTTGAGAGTAGATTTCACTATTTTGAATGTGGATTTTTCACTCCAAAATGAAGTGATCTTTAAAATGAATCATAAATAGCACATTTCCACTCCTGGGCCCCGTCTAATACAAAGATTACGATCGATCCATATCAATCGGAAGTCCTCCAGTCAATCGCAAGTTTGCAGTCTCCTATCTCTTATGTACAAAGCTGTGATTGATATCAATCGCAAATAAGTTGCCATGGATATCAACACTTTGTAAGACGGGGCCCTATACAATTAAAGTGTACCATTTATTTACGTCCCGATGAAGATTTTTTTCCCCTAAAGTTTCTCACCTGCATGACGGTCTGGATCAAATGCGTAGTCTCATCCACCCAGATGAGCCCTGCGTGTTCGGACACGCCCATGGAAGAGGCAGAGGCTACAAAGGTGTAGATACCCTGCAGGAACACCCCAGTCACACACATCCATAGCAGCGCTGCGTCCACTCGATGTGCAGGTCCAGCGCTGTGATCCGTCTGTAACGAGTAAAAGGCCACCAAATATTTTCATCTTTCGTCTAAAATGAACTCTTTAAAGGAAAACATTTTAATTGTACAGTTTTAAACAAACTAATGGAGGGAACATATAGCTCCGTTTAGTCCCATTTGAGAACGCCCCCTATCGGCACAGTCCAGCTGCCTAACATGTACGTTAATTAGCCTATGGACTTTTACCCCCCAAATCGTTAAAAAATCTTGTTTTGTTTAAACGAAAAGCACATCCACCCCGACGTATGTTATCACTAGCTCTTTCATTGGAACCCTCATGTCCCATTGACTTTTGAAAGTTCACCCACCGTAATTTGATCAAAATAGGTTGCAAGCCTGTCATTGACTATATAACACATGTACAACAAGTCGAACTTTGGACTCAATTTGCCAGGCGATTGCAAGATTATATGTCAAGCACACGAAGGATAAGAAGCATGAATTATCATAGATCACTTCTGCTTGGTTCATTATGTCCATTTCATCCAACCCCCACCGTCATTTTTCCATTTAGTAAAAGCAAACATTTTGCCGAGGTAAGCAAACACATGAATATTCATGATCACCATGGACTTTTCGATTATTTACAGAGGGGTACAATTGTGCACCATATCAAACTCCCCTATTTTAAGTCAGGTATTTCATTGTATTATGTAGTTTGGTAGGTTTAATTTAATAACTGTTTAATTATCAGATATCAGCGATAGTTTAAAGATATGGAAAATGTTCTTGTATTTTATATTAAGCAAAGCAATCTCACATACAAATTCACTACCAAGTGACGTCTAATCTGCCAATTGTCGTCTGCTATATACGTCCAGCGAGCAAAAATGAGACAACCGGAGCAATATGAATGATCGACAAATTCGATTAATATATCTTATCCCATTACTGGAATAAGAAAATCAAGAAAATTCTATAAAACTACCGGTATATAGAAAGCTATATTAATGTATTAATGATCAAATAATCAAAAAGTCCCATTCATACTCCTCTGAGATGTAAATTAAATCACAGTTTCATATCAATTAAAGTAATTTTAACCGTGATTGCAAAGTAATGCGTTTTACCCGTTGCACCCGATGTGTCAATAACGCAATCATTACCTCCGGTAATCAAGCCTGTAATATAGTAATAATGACTACTATGAGAGACATAGTTGTTTTTATACGCTCAAGGGGAGGTTAGATCGCCCCGAAGCGTTCCGAGGGGTGATAGCACGATGTAACCTCCCCGAGAGCCTATAAAAACAACTATGCCTCGAATATCAAAGCAGTCATTATAACTTACATGAATACATGTGCGACTTACCAATCATGGTAATCAAGTTTGTTTACGCTATCGAGACCTAGTCTTAATGGGGTGTCTGATTGCGCACCACTCGAGTTGGTGTGCTAAAATCCTTCCCATTGAGATTAACATGCCAAAACCGGTCAATAGTCTTTTGAAAAGTGCCCTACGGGAATGGCTAAAATCACGTCCCCAATTTCGACCAATCAAATGGCTCGATTTTTAAATTGAGGTATATAAAGGTCATTAATTCACACTCTAATAATTCAAAGTAAAGTGTGCAATGTTTATTTCAAACGATATCACTTTCACAGAGACAGTGCCAGTCGCTATAGTTTTATCGCACATCAGCAAATGACAACTAGTATAACAGCGGTGAAACGGCCGTTTAATACGAGGCGTCATAAGCCAGACGGAACACTCGATCTCTCTGGTCCGGTCTCTAGCTGACGCATCGTGTGCGGGTGACATCGTCCAAAAGTGATTGCGAGATGAACAATGCACCCATAGCGTTAAATTAATGATGTGTGGAATAATGGACTTCACAGGTTTGGTTAGCGCAGGTAATAGGGACTTTTAGATTTGCGTGGACTGATACGTGTGACGTCCATTCAAGGCAGTGCATTAAAAGGACGTCGACCGTAGCAATCCACATTGTCTTCGTGCGAATCTAAAAGTCCCTGATAACCCAATTGAACCGACTCCTCATTCATGTGCAACGGGCATGCGAATACTCATCTAAATCTTACCTGCCAACCGCCTCTGTGTATTCCAATGAAAGCGAGTATACATCCCAATATCGAGACGAAATTGAGAAAGATTCGGTAACCATGGATACTGACGAAGCTCTCTTTCGATTTCTCGGGGTCACCGAGATAGATGATGTTGAGGATGAGGATGATAACGCCACACATCGTGCAGAGGACACCCAGGAGCAGACCGCACTCGAAACTATAAATAACCAATGACGTACTTAAAATGATTATAACAATAACTTAATGGAAATTATATATTGTAGCTGAGGACGTAATATAAATATAAATCATAAACTAGGGTAATATAACATAGAAAGGTAACACGAAAAGCGGTTTTAAAAACAGTTTTTTAACAATGTACTGTTTCTTCATTTTTGCTACAATTAATTCCACCTTACAGTGAATTATATCGATTTTAAGATAATATTTAGCAGAGTAAAGTAAATTTACATAGTAGCTGCGCTATATAAATTGATCTAATTATGATTAGGCCTATTATTTTCATTATGTTGATTGTAAAGTTAATAATAAATGTGGGGAACGATTTTTACATTGCTACACTGTTCTTTACTATTGCAATCACCCCTTTTTTTCTTTCGAGGTATTGTATTTCAGTGATTTGTGAGGAAAAAAAAGGATATTGGACGCACTCTGTGCTGCTATTCGAGGTATACTCATACAAGCTAAAGTGATACAGCCGTAACCATTGTATAAGAACATGTATGAAAATTTAATGTCCAAATTGACTGTTACACGACTCTTTCCAAAGTTACTGATGGAAAGAAAAAACCAAAATTGTTTTATTTAGTCTTAAATTCTTCAAAAAATATATTATCGTTATATATTAGGTTCATGGTTCTTTTTTTAGACGCGTGGCTGGTCTTTATATAATACAAAAGAAATTGTTACAATATGATGTCAATATCAGAATTATTCAGTAGAGTTTTTCTATCATGAAAGTCGAATCAAATCGTCAATATTTTAAAGCTGATACTAACTGTCCATCGTAAATTTATGTCCATTAGTGGTATACATAATCAGAACTTTAAGTATTTTGTTTATGGACTCTAATTTATATAAATGATTTTCTCTTGGGGACTAAGTTGCAGTAACTTAAAAAATAAATAAAGAGAATAAAGCAGAAGGGACAATAACGAGAAATATTTATTTGAAAAATTCAATCACTCTAAAAATGGATCCAAATGACAGCTGTAACTCTCGAGGGTGGGAAACGTTTTTACACTATTCTTTTATTTTGTACATAGAGCGTATGGATGCGTAAAGTATATAGGGAGATGTCCGATGGGATTGTCAATACAAATTTGAATGGAAAGGAATTGCTAATGGGTGTTTTATCTTACTCTGCTAAAAATCATAAAATAAAGTATAATCAATTCTTTCCATTCCGTTACTGTAATTTGTACCATTAAGCTGTCATTTTGTGGGGTTGAAAATGATGCTATAAATATTTTCCAATTTTCTTTCAGCTCGCTTTTCCATTCTGTGCACTCATTGAATCCTCGAAGCGGAAAACTCGCAACTTCTGTAAAGAAGTTAACCAGCACTTAATCAGCAGATATGTATTATTTGCTATTTTCAGTGTTTCAACTGACCATGCAAACAAAATTAACAACAGCAGGCATCACTACCATTAACAGAGGCAGATTCCGAATTTGTTCATAGAAGGGGGGTCGAATATTTATAAGAATTATCATGTTTCTCGTTTTATCAATCCCACTTGAATTCTCTAGGCCTTCTTAGTGAGGAAGCCAAGAGTGGGATAGGAAGGAGCTTTCTTTTTCTCTCGGAATTATTTTCCAGCGCACCGGTAATGTCGGCCCCTGGATCTACAAATGCCACACATGCATCAATCATTAAAATCTCGGTTGACTTCACACCTACCTAAAACTCATTTCCGTACTGTTGGTGGGTTTTTGGCTGGTGTGGACTTTCCTCCCGATGTTCTTCCACATGACGTAAGCCATGGCCGCTCCGATGATACTGTACTCCACAGTGAAGGAATACAGGAACACAGAAGCTTTGTAGGTAGCCAGACCAAGACCAGTGTCGTACTTGCCGTCCAGACACTCCTCAACCGGTGAGAGGGAGCCATTTCCTCCACCGAATGTGGTACCGTTATCTGGGTAGTGAAATAATGTAGAATCGTCTTATAGGATAATCTGGTCTTTATGGGGCAAGTCCAAGGTATTTGGTATGTTTGATGTCACATACGCATCATGGAGTTTGATCTTGAACTGTAACCAAATGTGTCATTTTATGATATCAATTATATTGACATACCCATCAGTTTTGATGAGATGCCACGACGTACATTTTTTGCCCGTTTTAGGTATTTCGTTTATTGAGTAGAATTATTTTTTACATGTATTACCAAAAGTCAATTGATGTTTTGAATGACTAATTTAAAGGGTCATCATTTTCAGCTTCTAGAGGAGCAATAATAATGTTAATAAGGTAGGTAGTGAGAAGGTTTACTCACAGATGACGTCATTCGGATTCACGTAGTTATCCATTGCACCTCCGTAACCGTAGCCGTACACAGGGTCCCCATACGCACCAAACACAGGGACTGGATCTTGTGCCGTATACCCTGCCAGCTCCTGCAACAACCTGGCTCCTGTGCTGTACCCCGGCGTCCGACTACCTCCTCCGTAGCTTGGACCGCCACCAGGGTTGTAACCCCCGCCGCCGTTTGAACCGCCACTGGGGGTGTAGCCAGTGCCGGCATCGTACGCCGTACCAGCTCCCGTTGGGTCGTAGGCAGCACCACCCGTATCGTAGCCCTTTCCTGACGATCCCTTGTCGTAGCCCTTACCGGCGCCCTTGTCGTATGTACCTTTCATGTACTTAAGCAAGAAGTCCTCCCATGTCTCTTCGATCATGGTTCGTGCCCATACTGAGACGTTGTTTGCGCAAAGGTGCATGAGAGCCATTCTGACATTGTGAAAGATAGAAAGAGAGAGAGAGAGTTGGGAACATCTCCTTTTTAACATTACCTAGATACGCTAGATTATTTTGAACTAACGAAATGAACTTATATGACGCTCAAAATATTCCAATCGTAGGAAATTTTATCCTCTTTGGACAAAAAGGAGCCCCCGCCCCCTCCCCTCTAAATCAACATAGGAAACAATATATGAATTGCACTAATCTCAGTGAATAGTTTGCAAAGGTACCAGATCTTTATTGATTTGGTTCGTATGTCATTATAGAATGTATCAGCAGTATCCCCCCTATATATATATATATGTTATATTAAGATTCCTAATGATCCAAAAAGCACAATCTAACAACCGGGCCCTGTTGCACAAAACTTACCATGGATGGTAACTTTTCCATCAATGGTAACTACCATGGAAACCTTGATTTTGATGGGCTGTTGAGCCCTGTTACCATGGTAGTTGCCATTGATGGCAAAGTTACCATCAATGGTAAGTATTATGCAACGGGGCCCGGATCAATTTTAATCTCTTAAACTCACTTGGCCAAGGGCTGCCACCTGACGATACAATAGCGGGAGAACCGCCAGAAGTAGTAAATCTGCAGCATAGTGAAGGCCACACTGAGGATCGACCCGAAGGCGAAGATGCCCCGGGCGCCACATGGCCCACCATTCTTCTCGATGTGCGACGCCGTTCTCATGATGGCCCACAGGCAACTGCCTATTCCGAAAAACAGCAATCCGACTGCATGGAAGAAAGAAGAAAAGAACCATACAAATAATTAATTTTAGATATAATGACAACTAAATGACAAACGTGCCACGATATGTTTCTCCTTCAAAACTGTCTGTTTCGAAAAGAGCAATCCAACTGAAAGAAAGATAAAGAATCAGAGAGCAAGGGGAGGAGAGGGTGAATTGAATGCATCGGACAATCTCGTTTAGAAAATGTATGCACGCACGATTACAAAAAAGCTTGTAAAAGATAAACCGGAGGACGATTTTAAGATTGCCTGTAGAAAAAAATCTTTGGTTGACATTGGCAGAGGTCTTTCAAATGTTAAAAAGGTGAAATGTTGTGAAAATTTGCGAGGCTATTGGTCTTTGCGGATGGTTGATATTTCTGTAAAACTGCAATCGCGTATGCACACATGGATATCAAAAGCTAAAATAAATTATCAGTCACTATTAACCATGAACAGTAGTATAAGAATGAAGTAGAACCTTCAGGTAATGATAGTAATGATGGGAGCAACCACAGTAGAGTTTGAATAACAAATGATAGGTAATGACTTGCACTGTCGCGATTATGCTGTGGCAAAAAATATCGTTAACTGCGTATAATAAATTAATCACTGCTGTGCATTAAGTGTACGGGAAAGTTCACAAATAAATCATAAATACATCTTCTTAAATTAAAGGAACTTGACCTTTAAAAGTATCTAGTAAACTGTTTCTTTGTGAATGTCTGTCCTATTAAAGAACAAGACACTTCGAACTTGAAGAACTACTTCAGAAACTTATCACAGTTTTGAACTGATGTAGAGCTTGAGTTATTTAAAGAAAACGTGACACTGGTTTACTAATAATATTATTCATAGGTATTGTTAAATTTACATTGTGGGATGACACCGGAAAAGGGCCAAGGTTTTTGCACTTTCACAATCACAGCTTGGATGATTGTATTAAACATTCGTCGTTTTTAATACACCAAACAACGAAAAGCCAAATGAAATTTATTATAGCTATGGCACCGGAACAATCAATTTGATTCCTTCGCTGACTCACCGCAGGTCACATTGAGAGGGATTGTGTCGTGTGCAGCGCGGTATCCGTGCGCTTTAATAGCTGCCTATGTACTGCAATATGATTTAGGAGCATCCGTGCGCTCTTAATGTCCCGCAAGGTAATACAGTCCCGTCATGTGTTTCCTGTAATCCCGCGTACACTATACTCTGTCTAAAATTAGAAAATTCAAGTTCTTGATCCCACTCAAGAACTTCTTCTCTAAGCCAATGTGCATTGATAAGGTCACTGGGACCTATATTTAAATGCAGGCGCGTGATTTTCACAACCGCAGCTATTATTGCGATGGACGGTGAGATATGAGGAATTAGTTGCTATAATAACTTCATAAACACGACTATTAATGAAAGCATGCGGGTTTATTGATAAGCTCAGGTGAAATCTTGATTTCACCTGTCATGCTTTAGTTATATTCCTATATCATTGAGATAAAATAGCACCCGACCTACATTTCGTGAACCATGTGAAACTTTCTTATACATTTCAGAAGTTAATTTCAGCCAACTTTTCACTTAGCTTTATTTCATGTTTCTGGTATCATAGCCATATAAGTATACAAAGTGAAAACCTTCTTGAAATAAGCCAATTCTTTTCTTCTTAAAAGAATGTAAAATGTAGTAAGGTGAAATAAATATTGTTCTAATAAATATTTTTAAAATTTGGACTAAAGAGTTTTCTAAGCGTTTTTTCAGATTTCGACAGATGAAGCAAATAAAACCTACGTGCAAAAGAAATTGATTAAAAACACGATATTAATGTGACCCAGGTGCAAGTGTATCAAACCTTTTGTTATTATTACTCATTTGTTATCAGTCATTTGATTCAATTGCTTATCCGCACGTGATAGTGAACATGTTCCGCTTCCTGGGGAGTATTCCAAGCAGCCGCCATTTGACAAGCGAACACATGCCAATCTAACCACATTAGCGTTCACATCCAACCTGGTACTCATTCAACACCTGGGTGGAGAGTGACAAATGTATATTAATGTCTTGCTAAAGGACATTAGTGTCACGGTGAGACTCGAAATGTGACTCATGTGATCCACAGTCCGGTGACATATCCACTAGGCCACAAAACCTCTACAACAACAACAACAACAGCAAGATATTTCCACTATGTCGGGACCTCACAGTACGTCGTGACCCCCTAAAGGTGCAAGCATCCATGTTAGCCGTACTGGCAATTTTTACTGCTGTAGGAAACATTGTCATCGAGTCAACCCCTTCTACCTTTTGGCATTTACGAATCTCGCCATTCTTAACCCCCAACTCATCACCCAAATTTGGCCCCACCCAATAAAGGGCATTGAACATGTTCTGGTAAACTTGAGCCCCTTTCCAGGTTTACTGTTTCATCTTCTTCTTATCTTTGTAAAGCCACATGCCCTTCACCGTCATCCAATTACAATTGGAATATTGTAAATAATATTCCTCGTCAATCCATAACCTAAATCTGATCTGGCCGTTTGTGGTTAACATTACATAATATATGTCCACATTGATCGCCTTGTACCATTGGCTTTCAAATGTGGCTTATAAGTCGATTCAAAGAAGAACATTGTACCTCAAAATCACTTGGGTTAGGCAGTCCTACGTTGTCCAAGTTTGTTTCAAAAGTCTTCTTTTCCATTATAGACGCAATGATGTATGAGGATCAGCCCAGTCCCTGGTATATTGTTTCATTCACTTGAAACTCGCTGAATACTTTAAGAATGAAAATGTTGGCAAGACTATGTCTGTTAACAGTTCCTTTTTTTCCTGCAATTGTTTGTCGACTCAGGGTTTATTAATGCATTTTGCGCAGTCAACAACTGTTGGAATAAATGCAAGGGTACAAATTAATATTCCACAGCCTACAGATCTATACCAATATGCTTGTTAGTTTACATAATGTCCTATAGAAATGGCATTTTTTTTGTTATCACGGGTTATATTCTAAATACATCATGAACGCTGGAGAATTAATTACCATTTGAATATCGGCTTCCCGCCTGGGTATCGATTCTCTCCTCGTCGTCGCTAGAGGGCAGTGGTCTCTTTAGTACTATGACGACGATCATCCAGGCGATGGAGACGAGATAGAGGAAGATGAAGAAGCCTTCGACGTGACTCAGTAAGACGGGTCGAGCCTCCGTCGAGTCCCGAAGGAAGACCTGCGCGGTGTCGAGGACAAACACCATGGTGACCACGATCAAACCGTGCATCATGCTCATCAGTGTCCACAAGTCTTCACTATAAAATGGTAAAGAATATTGTAAAAGATTATTTTCTCACTCGATATGAATTACACCGCAAATCAAAATGAAATGAATAACATAACAAAACCTGCTTAAAATTTAACAAATTACAGGTTTGATCTACATGGATACATTTTATCTAATTCTGCAACAGTACCCTTTATATTGTGATCGGATAGAAGTGCAAGAGTTGATCATAATATCTAATTAAGATATGAACTTACTTAACCCCATTTATTGCCAGAGGCGTTCACTATCACAGTCAATGTATTTGACTGTATAATTTGTTTGTAAAAAGGTTTTCGAATACTTTGACATATGGCTCTGCTTATGAAACTTGAATGCAAATGGAGATTTGTTGTTCGCCAAATAACCTTGAAGTGCCGCTGCGCCGTTGGGATTCAAAACCCGAACCATTTGGTGCATATTACGGTGCCTTACCCACGCGGTTACGATACCCATAACACTACTACCTTAAGTCCGTTGCACTAGAGACGTCATTTGCCTGACGCAGGACTGTGTGCGCCACCGATGATATCTGAAACAGGTGTGAAAACGGTATTAGCCCCGCAAAAAACAGGTGTGAAAACGGTTTATTTGCCGCGCTATAACCCTACTCGGGTGCAGGTCCAGCTTAGCCCGGGAACTTGCAGTGCTAACCCACTTTCGAAAAACCAAGTGCAAACACAGAAGAAAGCCCTTTAACTTGCAGGGCTAAAAACCCTCAATTAGCCCCGCTAAAAAAAACCAGGTGTGAAAACGATAGACTCAGACTCCTACTTACTCTGGTTCATGGTCGTCGTGATCATCAAGGCCGTGGAAGTTATTGCACTCGGGCTCCATTCCGACGTGAACCCCCGTCGGGTAGCGCAGACTCAGCTCCAGGGTCCCCATGTTTTGTTGGTCGGACAGCGACGAGTGTGGACGGTGTGGGTTGTTGCCGAAATTATACGCTGTACGGAAGAGAGAGAAGAAACAAAAGGAAACATAATTTAGGGATAAGTTATCGGTGGTTTTCAATGCCTGAGTATGGTTTATGACATTTCCAGTTGCAACATAAAGTTGATCGCGCAAAATTCCATTTATTTTTCACCTGATGAAGCCTTGTACACATTTTTTTGAAATTCAAGATACGTTGGCGTTGATGGAACATTAAAACAAAACTATTTGCAGCCGAAAAAAAAATCAGTTCCTACTAAATGTTTGTATTACATTCCCTTTTTTTCGCAATGTATATAATAGTAAGGATAATAATACTGTTTATAATGGTAATGATGTTGTTTACAAGCTTCGGTGCTGTATTCCTGAGAGCCGTGTTATTATAATGACCCAAGCAATTGCAAGGTACTCATCTACACCTGGCCGGAAAGTGGCAAATGTGAAATAAAGTCTTGACAAAGGAGGTAGTGTCGGGCTGGGATTCAAACCTTCAACTCTTGGATTTGAATTTCAAGAGAATCAGCCACTATTGCACGTCCCCTACACTGTTTCAAAGCCTTTAAAATACTTGAGAGGGATGCTAAGCCATTATGTTTTGAACGTTATGCACATGAATAAGTGGATCCACATTAAGTAGGCCTATGGTATCTGGAATAGAACATCCGCCAATGACAAATTTGAGCTCGGAGCAGTTGCAGGCGGAAGTTGCAGACAACCTTGGCTAGTTTGCCACAACTGTTCAGCGCTTCTTGCGTAAAACCTTTAAAAAGGAAACTCATGAACTGCAGAGGCTCCCTCGTACAGTCTCGTCATCCCTGGATAGGCCTGCTTAAGTGTATAGAACTTGATTCTGTATATTAAATAGAAACGCTTCTTGAAGATATAATGGGAACAATTTTATACTATGAGTGGGTAGCTAATCTTTGAAAGCGCAAAAACAATTGTTATTGGTGGGACAGCTATTCCAAGTCATTTTGAAACATAGGTGACCTGACACGTGCATCTACAATTTATGTTTGTCTGATCATTGGATTAAGTGAATACTAGAGCAGTGATCAATGAATTGACAAGACTGAAGTCAAGTTATGTTCTCTACAATAATTCCAATTTTTCTTCTCCTGCTAGAAACCTTCATGAAGATGAACCAAACATTGCAAGCGTTTACTTGGAAACGTATGCGATACCAAATATTTTTGACTAGGCCTAGTACATTTAGGATTAAGCTTTGAAATTTCACACGTTTTAAGGTCTCCTTGAAGAAGGAAATAGTTTTAGCCAAAGAGGGACAGATTCTTAAAAGTCATCTACGTATCAGTCGCCTCTTTCGTCGACGACACATCCACAATCAAGCCTTACACTGCCCTACTGTTGAGTAGTTAACCATCGAATTATATTTAGAAAGGGCTGTACTTGTATATAAAGAAGGGGCTAATAAGGAGATCTATTTACACATTACTTACTGAATCTATAGCGAAATTATTTTTAAAAAAAATCATTTTCCCATAAGTTCACCATTTTCTCATGAAAATTTTACAAAAAAAAACATTCCTAGGTATCTACAAAATAAATCCATGTCTTAAAATAGGGAGGGAGGGTGGAGAAAGAGGGGGGGGGGGCAAATGAGAGAGCAAGTAAGGAAACTATAAACTGGCAAAAGTGAGGTTAGCTAGGAGATGTCGAAATCGAAAATGTTTAAGCGTGTGTGGGCTTGTGTCTGTGTTTAAGAAAGAGAGAAAAAAGGGAGAGAAGGAGAGGTTAGGGAAATGGATTCATGGTCATAAGATGACAGACCGATCATGACTTCAGGAAACCTCTTCAAGGCTCATGTAAGTCAGGAGATAAATGTCAAAGCATCCCTCAAGCAAAATGTCACATGGCCAATCAATACATAGAAACAACAACAACAACAAAAACCAAGTAAAACAGGTGCAGATACATCGGCGGGCGGGCTCATACATCAGCCTCAATCGAATATTAAAATACAGAAATAAAGAAGTTAGTATTTCTTTCCAAAAATGAGAGTAAGAGGAAGAGAAACGGTGAAGGTTAATATGAAAAGGATGGCACTCTCACGTCACCGTGTTCACTTGATGTCCTTGCTCTCTATCATGCACTTAAACGAGTAAGACAGGTGGCACCCCGCCCATGACAACAGTGCCCCCCCCCCCCCTCCGCTCCTCCGGCTGGAACCACGTTATTGGACTGGAAGAACATCTATGTCGCTACGGTAAATACGTATACGAAGACCTTAAAGAATACAGGAGAACTCAACTCCGAGCAGCAAATGAGATGAATTGATCCGTGAATATCTTTCCAGTAGATTCCAGAACAAATACGCAAACATAAATCCAAAGTATCACCTTTATTCTTCCTAGGGTAAGCCAGAGCTAAGCTATCCATCCTTCCTCCGTGACTGGATTCCAATGGCTAGCAACTCCCGTTCTATTGCTATATGCAGACGACAAAGTAAAGATCCAAGACCCTACACTCACAGCTGCATTACCACAAAAGAGTCACACTAGAAACTGCGCTACTGAATGTGAGGACACCCAAGCGTTGCTCCTTGCATTCTGATTGAGGATAATTCATGTTGTAGGCCAACCGGATCATGACTCAGGTCCCTTATTTTTCATCACTCCTTGTATATCACGTACCAATTTCAGGCAAAAGAAACTGAGATAAATGTTGACCAGAATATATACTGTTTACGTCACCGGTTCCCCGGTGACGTCACTGGGTCCGTTATGGGACAGTCGCCTTTTAGATGGCTCTCATGAGCCAAGGGAAATGCTTGGCACAGTTTCCCGGCGACGAGCGGGACAAATAGAAAGACACCTACGTCAGACCTGCGCACAGCCGAGCGAAACACCCTTGAAATAGACTCCGCAAGATGGACCTCATTACATTTTTGCTATATTTCCATGGCAATGAGAGATAGTGATGATTACAATACTAGCAACTATTCAACAATAGGGCGACATGATAAACACAAAATATTTCGAATGAACTGTTGGAACCTAGATATTAACATAATGTATAGTATAATGTTCGGAGCTGTTTGAAAGAAAAGTGGCATCACCGATTCAAAGAAATTCAGATTTTCTACTGTCCCATCCCATAAATATCAGAATTCACAGCATTGTAAAATTCTCAAAATACCTTACTTGCATAAAGATGAAAAAACGTTTGATATTCCTAAATAATATTTGTAAACGACTTTTAAAGCAGTTAGGAAAGTTTGATTCCAATTTACTTCATAAACTATAGGTTACAGTGTTTAAATACAATGACACAGAAATCTATGGACATTTCCCCATTTTTATAAACATTTAGCCGACTTCATTACATTGTTATTTCTCAAACTACACTGATGTCTACAGAATAATTCAACTTAGACACATATCATTGCAAAGTGAATTCTACAAATAGTAATTAATTGTCATGCATTTTTACATCAACTCTCTCAGACTAGCTGTTAATATTTTTTAAAAGGCCTTGCTTTTCTTTCGAATAAGCATAGGCTAGTAAGTTGGAATGAAACTCCATTCCTATGAATTCTACTTGTCTACTGAAGGCTTGAACACAAAGTAAAACATATAGAATTTAGTCATCGAAGAAACTAACTTCTTAGGCAAATTTTGTCTAAAATAGATTTTGGATGGGGCAGAACCCTCGACTTGCGGTAGGCGCTCGTTCTGACAGGGACGGCTGACTCTTCATTGAAAACGGAGTGTCTGTTATATCACGAGTCAATGTGTCATTAATGTATCAGTCTATAGTATTGTCTTGTCACCCCGCCTCTTTGTAAATCTTCCTTTTCTTGTCATTGATGATTATGTCATTTTTTATATTGAATTTCCCTTTGCCTTGCGAATTGTTGATAACTTTATTATATCATAGCCACCAACAAAAATATGATGATTTGAAACACCGCACAATCATTGGCAAGTAACACTATGTTCTAAGTTGTATCTTTTATATATAGTTATGTTGTTTCTAAGATGAATACTTTCTTCGTTATTGACTTTAAAATATGTTACATTGTGAATTTATCATTTTTATCTCGTGGTACTATCCAAATTGGCATACACTTTCTAAACCCATTATTAGACAGCATCGATGCTTAGCAACACGTTAAACATAACGTATTCGATCATCTACAGGGTTCCCCTAAATCTGACATTTCCGATAATAAATGGAGGGATTATATTCCCCTCGTCATGTGCATCCGGATCATCTAATTAACCAATAGCTACTACTCCCCAATTTGTTCAAAAGACTTTCTCCTTCACCCGGAAACAGATGTCAGACAATGAGCTATTTTACTCACCAATTCTCTTCTTTGGCAATTGAATTAAGGATCGTGTTGAGGTTACTATGTTTGACTCTTTTCCAGGAAGTTAGACGATGTTTTTTAAAACCCAAAACACGATCTTTTATTAGAAAGTACCAGACGATGATTATTCATCAAATGTATTTTAGGTTTCCTTTGTAAAAAAAAATGTAATTCAGGGGCGGAACCAGAGTTTCGGATGAAAGAGGGCACACTGCCTCAATGTCAAGGTAAATGAAAAGCAAAATAGATCATAATGACAAAGACAGTGAAAAGAAAAAAGGTCATCATAATTTTGGGTGACTATTTACCCCCCAAAATCCCTGACGAGTGTACAAGAAGAAATCAATTTAAAAGAGAAATTACATTTTTATAGTGTGCCTTTGATGTAAGATTTGAGAGGGGCACAGAGACCCTATCAAGGGAAACCCTGTACGTGCGTGTGTCCATGTTAAGAAATGCACGATTGGGTTTGGGGCCGGATATATCCTCCTTAAATCCACCAATGTATCATCAAATAATATCCACATAAAAAATTAATGACAACGTCTTTTTTTTATTACAAGATGGATTGAAATAACCTTTTTCATCCCTCCGATGTTAGGAAGACCTCTGATACAAAGCAATTTAAATCAGAAACTGATAATAACCTTTCAGATTTAATTTCTTATCGATGTTTTT